AAGACAAATTCAGAAGTGCTTCTCTCTCTTTTTACAAGAGTGGGAATGGAGAAAGACAACCCTCTGGGAAAGCTGTATATGCTCAAGAACAGAGGATCTTAGAACAGCCATGTGTTACTCTTCTTGTAGCGGCAGGGCGAAGGGGAGGATTGGTCTTCATTCAGGAGTCCAGCGGGCTAATCAATAAAGATGGCGGGTACTGAGTGCTATGAAACCCACAGTGCCCATTACCTGACTTACAGACACATAAAATGAACTTTCTTTTAGGTACGTTTATTGTCGAATGAGACAACAAAACAATATTGTAAAACAAAATATGACAACACGACTTAAAATTCACACTTCATGCAGGCACAATATGAATAGGAAGGGTACAGAAAGATGTATTGTAAAGACTTTTGATGGGTGGATGGCACATGATTTTACCCGATGGTGTTGTCCCCATTTAACTTGCATGCAAATGTCATGCAGAGCAACCAACCAATATCCTAAAAGCTTGGTAGTAGTGCAACCGTCACAGGTGAGGAAAATGTAGTCTTTGAACATAGAATTAGTATAAGATCACATGTAGTATGAGCAGGCAAATTTGCTTAAACTGTATTGATATGAATATGTATGAAAGATGTGAATACTGTTACAGGGAAGGCCATCGCCAAAATTACCCATACTTTGGCACTTGGCTTACATTAATAAACAAAAAAGTTAGAATCAGCTGTGGCATTTTTCCCATTACCTTCAATAAGGGCAGAGTTAGTTCGAAAACAATTTAAGGCTAGCAGAGCAAATGTAAGTACATAAAAGTACCACAAACAGCGACTTTGCGAACAAACTACTAAAATTCAGGCCAAGACAATGCACCGTGAAACAAATGTCAACGAAAACACTCATATTCTAGAGCGAATTGCACATATTTAATAGTGAGTGCAACACAAGATGTACATAAATGCCAAAGACAAACCCTACATGGTATTGTGATAACGAGTGTCTCTTTTATCTCGCAACCATATGTGCAGTACGATTTTTCAGCTAAATATATGAGGCAAGTCAGACACCAGCATCCTTAAAACAGGAGCAAATTTATTTTTAAATCATGTATACATTGTACCCATGAAATTCAGGTACACTGAAGGCTGAATAAAAGTGCAACCCTTATGCAAAAATACGCAGTAATTGAACTTGTGCAATTGATCCAAAGTGAACACTGAGGAAACTCGTAAATGCACCAGAGCATGCAAATTACATGCAACGTCAAATGTTAAAACAATAAAAACAATACGAGGTGGAGCCATCTTGCTCTTCTTTTTCGTAAGGACAAAAACAAACAGCCGAGCTCCAGCAAATATGCCATTAAATCATGCTGCATACATGCTACGCCAGAGCTTGTCATAGAAAAAAGGAAAAAGGCAGTAAATGACACAGTAGCACACATTTTTTTTTACATTTTGTTCACATGTGATCATTTGACAATACTTTCACACGACATCCAAAATGCAGGAAGGCTTTGTGAAGGCATACAAACAGTCCACTCTCGTAGTGTGGGTATTTGTCAAACTTGGAGGGGCAGAAGCAAGACGAGTCATGTCTCTATTTGCCGTCAACGCTTGAAGAAGGACGTTATTTGCTGCTGTGTGCTGAGTAGTGCCCTCTTTGCCTTGCTCTTTCTCTGCACACAAAACGGAGATTGTGAGCACTTACCTTTATCCATAAAAATGTGCACATTCACACAATTCATTTGACAATATGAACAAAGGGATAACTGAGAGCCAGATACGGCCACCGATTGCGGACTTCATAGAATCCTGCAAAAACTCAATTCAGCATAGTTTACGATGTAACAAACTACCATGTTTTCTTGCACATAATCCGCACCAAAAGGCAGAAAAATCTGCGGATAAAGTGGGGATGCACGATATACGTGGTGGCTATGTGCATATTTTTTCTTCGTACAGTTAAAGTTAAGAGCACAGGTTCTATGCAGCGATAGGTTATATGCAACAAAATATGGTATTTTCATATCCCAGCTGTAGTTCCACTGAAAACCGTGCTCTTATTTTTTTACATATAAGTGATACGAGCCGTGGCGTGGTTTAACGTTACCACAGTATGTGGACGAGGACTGCGCATTTGTCACACTGCGGGCACCTATATAAGTACAGTGGAAATATGCTCGTATAAATACGGTGCTTGTAGACACTTCCGCAAATGCACATCCGGTTGGCAGGGCATGCGTGTGACAACTTGCGATAAAATTTGAGTACTCACACCAGAATAGCTATTTCGTAACAGTTTATCTAATGGACGTGTCCGCTTTGACTTAACATCATCAGAGAGCACATTCAGTTCCTACAAAAAGTATGAAGCCATGACGTAATTGCACAGGTGCATTAAATCGGAGGCCATGTTTAACTTACTTCGAGGGCTAATGCAATCACCGAATCAGAGATACCGTATTTGCTTGCATAATATGCGCACCTTCGGTTTGGTCTCCAAAAATTTCCACGCTTAATAGGCGCAACCCGAACTTCGCCGTGATCAATAGTTCTGCACCGTATTTTCACGGTTGCCGTTCGACGCCCTTTTACGAAGAAAAAGAAAAGAAAGACCACGGCGGCGCTGCGCCTACCCAGCGGGCTCGCCGAGTGAAGAAGGGCGATCGCTTGGGTGTTGGAATAACCTTTGCACCGACATCGGCATGGCTCCAATTGCTAGGATGGCCATGCACGCTCTGCGTGGAACGCGCAGTCGAGTCCTCGTCAAGTGCGCATCGAGTTTTCTGCCCAGAAAAGGAAGGTCATTACCGGGTTTGCTACCTTGACCCCAAATTTCAAAACTTTTCGGCTTTGCGACGCAAGCTTTCACCTTTGCTGCCACTACCCAGACTTGCACAAGCTCGACAAACTTTTGCAGTCGTTCATTTCCTGGCAGCGAACCTAAACAGTGTATCACCGGCGCTGCTCTTGGATCAGTTGCTTCAGTGCAATCTTTTCAAAGCTCAATCTTCATGTTGTCTTGTACAAACATCTCGCGACATGCTGAATCATAGGCTAGCTAGGCCTAATCACTGTCGGTGCTTTTTCAGTGGCGGTCGAGGGGGATCAATGTTGCAGTTTTGTATGGAATCAAACTTTAAGTGGCTTCACTTAAAAGAAAGGGGGCTTGAGTGGCGCTAGTAACACTCGAAAGGTGGTTATCGATTCGATTGTAACGTCTGAGATATGGGGTGTGAGCCCATGAAATTGAATTATTGATACTGTTCAGTGGAGGAAATTGCGGTCAAGACAATGTTCAGAATCTAGGTGGCCTGAAACGCAATAGGCGAATTTTCGTGATGGCGCTTCCTTTTCGTAGTTTCTTATTTTGTTTTCATTTCCTTGGTAACGCAGATTTTTCTATGTTAATTTCTGGAAATTTGAATGCACACCGTGTTGCATGGCTCGATTCTTGGACACGCGAGGCTGCATAATCAGCATGTTTTGCGCTAGTGTAGCCTATGAGAAAAGTTGTTTTGGATGTAGTGGGGATATTTGTGACTTCGATGACGTACGTTATAAACGATATGTGCTGTAGTCTGTGGGGCCTCGATATGGTGAGTAAGCACCACGCCACGTTCTTGGAGTGAACGGACACAGCAGACGCGGTCGGTACAAACCAAACAACATACATACATTTATTTACCTAATTTATAACGACGATATCGTCTGCCGAATCAATACATCAATTTTAATAAACACACTAGGACATCCTTACACAATATCCTTACACACACACACACTCCAAAACAAACCCAATAACACGACAGACAAATAAACAATAACACAACCAGGCTAACACACCCAAGGCGGTGTCGCCAACGCTCGACTTACCACGAGGGCCCCCGGCGCGCGCAGAAGACCCTCGATCAACTCTCGCTCGCCACCAAGGCTTGCTTTCCGCCAGGGGTCACCACCGGCGCTACCACTGTCACAACCATGATGATGATGACAGTGGTAATCAACGCCACCTACCACCCGGTAGTTGTAACCCGAAATGTGGCTTTTTGGTATTACATAACGAGTTATGTGTCAATTCGGGAGCCCTCCTGGTAAGTCAAGCGTTGGCGACACCGCCTCGGGTGTGTTAGCCTAGTTGTGTTATTGTTTGTTTGTCCGTCGTGTCATTGGGTTTGTTTTGGAGTGTAGTGTGTGTAAGGATGTCCTGGTGTGTTGATTACAATTGATGTATTGATTCGGCAGACGATATCGTCGTTATAAATTAGGTAAATAAATGTATGTATGTTGTTTGGCTTGTACCGACCGCGTCTGCTGTGTCCGTTCACTCCAAGAGCGCGGCGTGGTGCTCGCTCGCCATATCGAGACCCCACAAGTCGGAAATAAAAATTTAGGCAATTTCACCCCGCATAATACGTGCACCTCGAACTTGGAGCCGTGCTTTCTAAAAGAGAAAGTGCGCCTACTGTGCGAGTAAATACGGTAATGCATGGCCTTTGAGATTCGTGTGGCCAAGAGCGGATCTCCAGAGACAACATGCACTACATCTAAGTGCAATCCGTTCCTCTCATTCGGGTGAAGAACTGAGCAGGCTTCATCATCCCAAAATGATGTCACGCAAAAAGAACTGGAAAAAGGAGGCATTCTGCACATCAAGCCATGGCCAATCTTAATAATAATTGTTGGGCTTCAACGTCCTAATACTGCCACTTGATAATGAGAGACACCGTAGTGAAGGGTTCTGGAAATTTCAATCACCTAGCGTTCTTTACCGTGCACTTAAATCAAAGCACATGGGCCCCAAACATTTTCGCCTTCATCAAAAATGCACCCACAGCCAAGATTCCATCTCACGACCTGTGGGTCAGCAGCCAAGTGCCTTAGCCACTAGGCTGCCACGGCGGGTGCGCCTTGGCCAATCAAAGATCGCCAGAATGGACAGTTCACTGGTTGGACAGTGCGAATATGACGCTGTCGATTGACTATTAGGAAGAACGATTTCGCACTTACCTTGTCAACGGCAGGGGATGCCTGCCTCTTAAAGAGCCTGGCCATGATCTTGTGCTGCTTCCGACTATGCGATGCACTCGGAGGGGACGGTGTCGCGTCAGGTGCCACGGGCCGTGGTGGCGTTCCTTGCACCTGCAGTGGTATGTTTTCCAGGTCACACGTTGTCACGTCTGTGGCACCATCATCTTTCTTGATGTCGTCTTCCAGGGCATTTAGGCGGGGCAGCAGGCGCCGCTGCGGAACGTTTGCGGCACTGTCGGCTTTTTTCCTGGGGGACAGTATGGTGTCGGCGGGAGGTGACGGCGACTGGCCGCCCGATGACGTAGCAACACTCTCGGAGCGTGTGCTGTGCTCCTGCAAAAGTCACATGGATACATCAGTCACTCGAGTATCCTTACACACACGCACACAACACGTGCATTTATTAAGTGTTGCTGAGCACACAACAATAGCATTACGTACAGCGACGCATTCTCTAGAAGGAATATCTTATAATGTTTCATAATAAGGATAATATGTGGGGTTGAACCTCCCGATACCACCATATGATTATGAAAGACGCCGTAGTGGAGGGCTCCATAAATTTCAACCACCTGGGGCTCTTTAACGAGCACCCAAATCAGAGCTCACGGGACTACAGCATTTTCTTCTCTATCGAAAGTGCAGCCGCCACAGCTGGGATTCGCTCGTGCGACCTACGGGTCAGCAGTTGAGTGCTCTATCCACTAGACCACCGTGGCGGGGCCTCAAAGTTGCATAGCCTCGCAGTTAATACACTTGAACCTCAATATAATAAAGTTGCACTTTACCTGAAAATAAGTGTTTCATCCAAAAATTCATTACACTGTCTTTACACTGTCTATAGTAAGACTATTTTTCGTGTACTTTGTTATAACCAATATTTGATTATATCTGGGTTCGCTATATCAAGGTCTGACTGTATTCGTGTGCCGAGATTTCGACATGAAGTTTAACAAAATTTTGACCTCGACATCTTTTGGTTTTCCTTAAGTTTTTTCGAAGAAGCACTCTTGCTTAAAAAAAACTTTCCAGTGCACTTTGATAGGGTTGTTAAACTCTTTAAATTGCAGGTGAATTCCCGGTGCGAAAATGTGTCGAGCAACCAGCCGTCGACTCTCATTGTGAGTACTTACCGAAGATCCGGGCGTGTTGCTGGCAGCACTGGTTAGCCTGCGCTTGGTGGGCGGTGTGAACCAGTCGGCCATGGAGGAGCTCGTCCTCGTCGGCGTGCGGGCGCTGCCGTCGAATAGCGAGGTGGTACAAGCCGGGCTGAACTGGGTGATGCGCCAGTCAGTGTTGCTGTACACTCTACAAAAGACATATTTCAAAACACATAACACTGGCGATGCGTGAACAGTAAAGTTGTGGTTCGATGCAAATGGTGATTTAGCAATTTCAAATAGAATAGTTTACATAATAGTTCAAATCGCTTATACCCCATATTACAAAGAAAAATGAAGGTTTTTGTCATGACCCAACTTACTTGCACAAGATTTTGAAGAATTAGAACAAGGCTTGTGCGAATGCCACTGATTTGGCACGAAGCAAAGTGAAAGCACCTTTTTGGGTCGAGTTTGGACTTCCTGTGGCTAGATGTGTGGCTTCCAAGATTCGAAGCACGCACAATCTTTCTGCTTCGAAGGCAGTGTCCAATCTTTCTTGATTAGCAAAACCAGTGATCAAAACTGTCTATGGGACACAACTTTTCTTTTTTCAGTCAGCCTTATTTTTCACCATTCATATGTCCGTTAGGTTTTCTTTTTTCCCTGCGCTTTTGTTCTTATGGCTATCGTTGCGCACGTGGTCATGTTGGTGGTGTGCACCTTCCTTCGTGGTGGCGTGTCAAGTGTGTGAGATGTCGGACACGTCATACGCCCTCTGCTGCTCGCGTTTGACAGTAGCACATCGTTGTTGCGATGCTCGGCTACTGACCTGAAACACCCGGATTCGATTGCGACCGTGGTGGTAGTGTTTTGATGGCGGTGAAATGCTGGAGGATCGCGTACTGTGCGGAGTCGGTAAAAGAACCCCAGACAATGTCGTAAAATCTCGTCAAACAGGTGAGACGTTTCATGCGCCTTTTCGAGACCGGCATCAAGTTTTTGTTTGCTTGGTGCCGTGGAGCAATTAACTGTGCCGCTCTCATCGGTTGGCGGCAGCGACTGCCAATGCGCTTGCCAAAAATGTTACCGTCGCCCAAATAGAACCAAATTGCTAAGCGTTGCATGCATCATGGCATAAACTCTGTTTTCACGTGTTGACTATTTTCTCACACCGTACAATATTTTGGAATATTTCCTGGTCCTCGTCAGGTCTGGAAAACCAGTCTGTGACTGTAATACTTGGCTTGCGTGTTCTCAGCAGCGTCTACTTCTGATTGGCAGCATGTTTTGACCGTGCTCAAAAAGTGTTGCAGGGCTTGTTTAATGGCAAGAGTATTGCTTTTGGAATTGTGAAAGGGTAATTTAATGAGATATAAAAATATTTTAATGTTTCATGACACTGAAAGTGTATTAGTGTAATTTATCTCACATCAAACAGAGGCAAACGGTAGCCTAAAATACTGAACATCGACGCCAAATGATATGCTCTTCAGGGAGTGGAGCCACTATTCCAACCAGCTTGCGATACAGTAATAAGAAGACAGAATTTTACGAACATTTTAAGCGTGTAAAAAGTGTGAACAAGGCTTTCAAGCACCTTCTAAAAGGCAGCAGTGCAGGTTCGGAAAGCCTAATTCAAGGCTTGTGCAAATATTCAAACAAACAATGCAGCATTCTAATTCATTTCAAATCAAATTTGAATTATCAATAATTCCAAATGATTCCAGATGAATGGATGGATGCATATAAATCCGCATGTACACTTCTGTAAAGGTGATTTCAATGCAGTGGAGGGGTGCAAAGCCCGTGAAAACGCCTATTTAGGTGTATATTAATTCGAATATAACTTCCTGTAAAAGTGGTTTCACTGCCATGCAGTGACGATGAGCCGTGAAAACTCGTATCCACAAGAAATCTCACTTCAAGGTTAAATGAAGATATTACCCTCACATGGATTCATTTTTCCAGTTTAAAAACCCGTTATACTAACTTGTATAACATTATACTAACTTGTATAAGTATAGCAAATTTTAAAACGTAACTTACTTCACAGGCTATCACTAGCATTCTAGCGGAAGCCAAATTCGGCTACTATTCAAAGTTGCTTCCATTTCTTTCGATGTTAAAAAAATGATAGTCAAATCTCAATAATTCGAACTCGAAGGGGCCCGAAAATTTGTTCGAATTAAAAGAAGTTTGAAATAATGAACGCTAAATAAACGGAGGGCTCTCCGTGCAGTGGCGCATGTGCATTGAGCTAACACACGACGGGGAAGTTTCAGAAGACTTACATTTATTCACAAATCACAGGACATCCATTATTAATTGAAGTAATCGGCGATGCGCGTCTGCACGCGTTTTCCTTGCAGCGAGCTTGCAAAGCATTTCTGCTTCGGCTCCAGCATTCTCCTGGCAAGAGATGTTGCACACGGAAATGTCCAGCGCCGACACGATCCAAAGACGACAAGGCCGACATGATCCAAAGACGACAAGAACGACTGCGTAGCGCACCGGAGCCTCTCCGCTAAGCAGCCGCAGCATGACCAGCACGTGACCAGAAAGGAGGAGCATCTCCACGGGGAGAGAAGCAGATCAGTATTTGAGAAAAAACCAACACTCCATGGCAGCTTATTTATTTTTTTTTGCTCTCTTCGCGCGTGTCGTTGAAAGAAAAAGGGTTACGTGGCAGGGACAGGAAAGAAGGGGGGAAGCATGGCACAGGGTGCCCGAGAACCCCCCCCCCCCCCCCCCCCCTCAAGGCGCAGTGCCATGCTCCTGCAAGGGGCAAGGGCTACAGAAGATAGTGTCTTTTTCCTTTCCTTCAACCACATATTCATTCAACCCAGCGACAGCTTTCTTTTTTTCCTCTCTCTTTTCGCGCACGGCGTTGGAAGAAGGGTCTTTACATGGCAGGGACGGAAAAGGGAGAAACGTGACACGGGCGTGTTGCAGATCGGCATTTGAGATAGAGCAAACATTCCACCATTCCAGCATTTTCGGAGCACGGTATGTTTGAATTAACCATCGAAAGTGCTTGCGCGTTCGAATTACTGGGCGTTTTCACCCATTGAAATACACATAGCTTTGACAGGACCTCATCGTGAGTTCGAATTAACCGGAAATTCGAATTAAGGCGTGTTCGAATTGATGAGATTCGACTGTACTTGCACAAGCCTTGCAACAACTTAAAAAAAAAAGGATATTGCGCAGGTTAGTATGGTCATGGCAAATCAAATATGCCCTTTTTTCCTTATGTCATGTACATACTATTGGATTTGAAATTATTTGGCAGAAATCGTTATTCGCTTAGAACCCCGAATTCCCTATTCGCACAAGCCTACCTAATACTATGACTGGCCCAGGCCCACCCTCTTAAAGCATGCTGGTGCATTCGCCATCAGCAGCTGAAGAAATATATGATGTCGGGAGTATACGCCACAAGAGTGGTCTGATAACACTGCCCTCCTTTACCTTCTGCCTCGCCCTGATGAAAAGTTCTACCTGCGAAACCGACGTCACTAGACTTATAACCGCTGTGGATAACTCCCTGATGTCAATGGATATTTTTCCTTAGCAGCAGGACATCCTGATGCCCAGCTTTAGTCGTAGGTGCACTATCTGTCAGCAGTGTTTGCCAGTTAAGAGACACCTGCAGTACATCCTGTGGATTAGAGTTTTTTCAGCTTTTCAATACGCCACGAAATTCCGAGCAAGCGTCCCCCTTCCCCCCCCTTTTTTTTTGAAAGAATTGAAATATGTGCCAATGTTATGAAGCGTGGAAACTTGGGCAAGTTGGTAGGACATAACTGAATGCAGGAACAGTGCCACCTAGCAGTGGTTACTTCGCAACTATGGAAGCGAAAAAAACATGGACAGAAGAGAGCGCTGACTTTCAACAAAGATTTAATATCGGAGTGGTGTACATATATAGGCGAAAAATGAGAAAATTGGGCATGCGTAGAAGGGTGCAGGAACAACCACTGCGATACAATGTCAGCAAAACTCTTGGCAGTGGTTGTTTCTGCACCCTTCTACGCATGCCCAATTTTCTCATTTTTCGCCTATACATGTACACCACTCCGATAAGAAATCTTTGTTGAAAGTCAGCGCTCTTTTCTGTCCTTGTTTTTTTCCCTTCCGCAGTTACAAAGTAACTACTTCTAGGTTGCGCTGTTGCTGCATTCTGTTATGTGCCAATGACCACACAAACATGCCCCTCCTCTCACACCCCTCGCTCCTCCAATTTTCACAGTTTGAATTACTGATTCGAGATCAAATACACAGCAACAGTGATTGCATGTGTATTCAATGAAGCATTTTATCAGAAGCACGAATATGGTCTGCCTTGCTAGCCGCACCTTTACTGCCATCTTGAATTTTGGTTTGTAACCGAGACCCCCCCCACCCCCACCTGAATCTATTGCTATGCGAAAAGACAAAGACAGGGAGGGGGGAGGCACATAGGCACATGCTTGGAATTTTACGAGAGTTCAAAAGTTCATTAAGATTACACTGCAACGATGTATCACTGCGGATGCAGAGGACAGCACCAGAAGTTTAATCCAAGTTTCGAAATTTATGTTTTAAGTAACCAGCTAAGCTACACAGGCAAGGGCTTCTAGGTAGGGGTGCGCAAATTTACACCAGTCTAGAAGATTAAACACTGTAATGGTTACCATGTCAGAGACGAGACTCTCAATCTATGTTTGGCCTAATAATATGTAGCAGATTCAAGGCTCATTCACACCAAAGGAGGAGCGGCCAAAGTGAGAAGGTGTGCTGGAAACTAGGCAACGAATTGCTCGGGTGACCTGATTTTTGGCCACCGGCTAATGTTCTCCACTTCGCTGTAGCCAATCAGAACGACACGGGGCGGTGGCGCTGGTGTACCTCTAGGAGAAGCAGTGGCACAAGATAGCAACCCGTGTGCAACAACGCAGGATGCCCCTCCTCCTCCACTAAAGGAGGCGGTGCAATCCGGAAAGGTGCAGGCACTTGCCGCCTTGCCCCTTCTAAATGTCCGCTAACCCCTTTGCCGCTCCACCTTCGGTTGGAACGAGCCTTTAGTGCTGCTATGCAAGGTACTGCCGCAGTGAAGTGTAACGCACAAGGCAAGCATGCAAATGCCCAGCTGGAGATAAGCTGCCTGCACAATGATGCGTACCTACTTGGCGTCTTACGCAGAGCAGATAAGGCGTGAAAGAGTGCACCGCTGGGCGCTGCGGAGCAATCGTGCAGTAAAATTAGAGTAGAAGCTGGCGTCGGCAACGAGCATGTTGGGAGCGTGCAGGGGCATTCAAGCACTGCGGTGGTCAAGCTTCAAAGGTCGTCCAGACAAGTGATAGCAAGGCAGCCGCGACTAATCAGGCACTGATAGAAAAGCGGCATGCACCTGCCACCACCGGATGAAATTACAAAGTTCCGGGTTGCCAGTGCAGAAGCCAGACTTGGATGCAGACGACGAAGGGATCAGGAAGTCAAACTGCGCAGAAAATAAATTAGAGAAAGCAGCCACGAGAAAACTGATTTCGTATACGCCAATCCAAGACAGCTCGCCCCAGAAGCCGGGAAGGCCCAATAGTCGGCTACAAGAAACTCGCACACAACGCACTTTTAGACGTGATCAAGGGCAGTTTCTACCTCGATGAACTAACGTTTGGAGAAGAAATTCTCACAGCTAACAAAACTGATAGAAAAGTTTATTTAATAGATTTGAAGTACTCATTGCTAGCGTTGACATTAGACCAATATCGAATTGAATACAGTCAAATCTCGGTAGAACGAACCTCACATTAACAAACTTTTCAAATTAACGAACTTTCAAAAGATCCCTCGCCAACTGCTAATAGTTTCAATGTAAAATTATTTCACCACAATGCACTTCAGAATACCGAACTTTTCAGAATAACGAGTGCTAATTGAGTGCCACGTTATACTAACAACGTCTCAGTGCTACAAAGTCATGTTCTTAAATCTGTTGCGACCACTGGAGCGGTACGCAAGCAGACGACACAGTGAACGATAACCTTGCTTCTCAAAAGACGCGCGACGGTGCGGAGAGAAAAAAAAAAAAAGAATTAAAGGATGACTTTCATTTATTTCTTTTTGTAGAAATGCCGACGCTACAAGTTTACAAGCATAGAGGGGAGGGCAAAACGGGAGGGCAAGGTCAGCGAGGCAGAGTGGGAGTTGCGGAGCAGGAAGCATGGGCGTGAAAAACACGAGACTGTGAGAGAGCACTAAACGCAACGCGAGAAATTTGCTTTTTTAGTTTTCTTCGGAAGAGGCGATGACAGCCACGACACTTTGCGTTTTTCTTATCTTTGTCACTTCTACATGTCCTCTAAAAGGCCTTGTCAGTCGTGTTCATCTCTTTTCGGTGGTTACTTATCGGGTCCGCAAAGCATGTCGGTGTTTGCGCTGCTGTGCTACTACGATGAGTTAACCTCTGCCTGCGACGAAGAAGCGGAAGCAGTTCTTGCTAAGCGAGAAAGTGGATAATCTTCGGCAAATGAAGGCAAAAAGCAGGCTGTTGTGGCCAATAAACTTGAAGTGCACGCGTCAAACAAAAACCACAGACTTCTTTAAGCAAACGTGCATTTTTTGGTGTTCACTTGTACATTTGTTTTTTTCTCGTGAAAAACAAGTTGAAGGACCCACCGTTGTAAAGGTAAGGCGTTTTGGTGAATGGAAAATAAGTATTCATGGTGACTTTTTGGGCTATAAATATAATGACCTTTTAAAATAACGAACAAATTGATGCAGTCCCCTGAAGTTCATTACATCAAGATTTTACTTTACAGACTAGGTAGCATGGAAAATTACTGCATTTTAAACGGTTTTAGAGTGCCCATGACTGCAATAATTAAGTTTATATAACCAAAACTAAATAATAAAGTGATGCATATTTTACTAGCGTGAGACGCTTTATCCGATGTGTATATATGTGTATAACTGTGACAGGATTGAAATACAAATAGCTTCTGATTATGTTCAAGTACCATGATTGTTGATTCCTATAATTTATCATGTCACGGCATTGCCACCAATTCACCATTCGTTTCACGTGCTGCTGAGAAATCACATTACCAACGGAGACCTCACTGCCCTCAACCACGCGTATACAGTCGCTAACCGATTTTCTGGACCTGGTGGGGACCACGAAATACGTGTATCCAAAAAAACGATGAATATACGAAAAGGAAGCTTACTTTGATTAAAGCAACCTCAAAAATTCCCAGTAATGCCTCACTTCATGCTGTGTTTGGGGACGAGCAAGATTCGGTTGTATCTGGGCTACGGGAATATCGTCAGGGTGTTGGCAATAGCTGCTGCAAAATGTTGCGGGCGACACAGTTGGTGGCGCCTTGGCACCAAGGAAAAAAACTTGATGCCGGTTGCAAAAACATGCATGCATTGTCTTGTCTGTTTGGTGGGACTTCAACAACGCCGTCGGGGGTTCCTGTGCACTGAAATTGCACAGTACGCCAGCCTCTAACGTTTCAACTCCACTATCGCCATGGCCACGATTGAATCTGTATGTCAGTAGCGAGGCAGCATAAATATCGTTGTGTCCACAATGTGCTACTGAACAACCGCAACAGCACGGAACATGTGACGCGCACGACTGCTAAAACATACCTGACACAGCGAACCCGATCGCATGCCGAATGACAACACAAACAAAAAATCAATAAATAATAAAAAGTCTACCAGTGTATTATGATGATAAGACTGCCTGAAAAAGAAGTTTCATCCCCTAGACAGTTTTGTCAGCTAAGAAAGATCGGATACTGGGATTGTGAGTGCTTCGAATCTTGGAGACAACACAACTAGCCACTGAAAGCCAAGCTCAACCGGACAAGCCAAAGGAAAATCCAACATGGCAGCCTTCAAAATCTCAAGCTCAACCGACCAAGCCGACAGAAAATCCAACATAGCGTCCTTCAAAATAGAGCGGCATGGCACAAAACGAGCGATTCAGACGAAAAAATCAGTCACCAGAATGTGTTAATCCTATGGGAACATTGACGGTGCACTTATGAAGTCTCAAATACCCAACCAATCTGAATTTTCGGAGTTCAAAAACATCTGTCGGCGACAGTGAGAACAGTCACATAGAGTCAGGTTTGACAAAAAAAATCAATTTTTGCTCAGTGCACCTACTGGCACCAACATCAGCGTAATGTCCGGCTACAATATCAGTTTTGGCGACTTCATTCTGTACGTTGCAGTACCTGGTGTTATCACGACTAATTATACTAGTGTATGGTTAGTCGTGATATCACCAGTGCATCGCCAACAAAGCCGCAGAGCGATGCGGCCGTGGAAACGTCACAACATCTTGTGCAAGCATGTGACAAGAAGCTCGTACCTTGTTATGTACACATGGGAACCAAACTAGCAACAGGACAGTTTTGAAAAAGTGCGGCAGCAGCAAACGCTCACCGTGCATGCTCACTGTACAACGTCTGCAGTTAAACCTGCCTATTATAAACCTCAATATAATCAATTCCTTGATAATACGTATTCCTTGCTGCTACTCTGTAAAAGCGTATGTATTTACGACCTCTATGTAGCAAAGTAACAGCGGGAGACATCGTTGATATAACGAATTTTCACCACAGAGCCTCAGATTTGGTCATTTGGCCAAGAGCATGCATCCTCCACGGTTGCTTCGGCGGCAGCATGCATGGTGCATTTGTGGCCTTCGAGCCGGCGTTGCCGCAACGGGCACATGCGTGGATGCGCCTTTATCCTCTCTCCAAGTTAAAAACGAAAACAAACAAAAAGAAAGCAACTTTTACGTGGGCAGTGCCACTCTTCCATTGCTGAAAAAGTATCTGAAGTGCACATTAAGTGACACAGGTGATGCCACTTTGTGTTTTGCTTTTCGTTAGCGTTACATGTGGGGCCGTGCTGCATGTGGAAAGCGCTTTACCAAAAGCGCTTGATGTCGCTGTGCGCGCATCCATGGTTCTACTGCGAGCGCGTGGAGTCATCGCCGACAATGTTCAGCTTTCTTCCTTTTATTTCTAGCCGTGTCGTCAGCACCAAGGAGATGTCGGATTAGGATCGGATGAAAATCCTCCAAGGCCACGGTGACAACAACAGATCTCTGAAGGTCAACTCAACGCATGCTGTGCCGTCTTGCGCCGCGCTGCGAGTTTGCAAGACCATAGCCTTCGCGATTAGCCAATGAGCTCTGGCAACACGACGGTATGTTAAATGCAATGAATACGATCGCAACAAAATGTAATGTTATACGAAGTAAGTGGGCAGCCCAATACTTCGGAACTCTAGCAAAGCGCTGGTGTAAGAAAATACGGCCACTCCAAAGACAAGTGCTCTTCTCACACTTTCTCTTCGCACTGAAAGCGGGCTGACAGGATAGCATGTGCGTCAGCAATCGCAACCACGCCCTTAAAATGAAAGCTCACTGTTGCTACCCGAGCGACGCTCCCACGTTTCATCATGCTCGTTCAAGATGAGTGGTTTTCTTCATGTTTGAGCATTCGGCAGCAGTTCTAACATGCGGGGGGGATGTTATCGTAGGGGCCCTCCAGGCGATAGTAAAAGTTACGACACGAGGGGCATGTTGTCAATTTGGAATTGTCACGAAACATGGTGGCGACAGCAAAAACCCGTTGAGAGTGTCAATGCTATTGCAATTATAACGCAGTTTTTTACCGCTAAGTAAGTGTTTTGGGCGAGACCTGCCTGCAGTGCTCCTTTTGTATACCTTGTTCATTTATTTTTACAATTTCGGTACCAAACCTGCATATAACGAAATCCTCTTTATAAAGATTTTTCTCGGGAATTTGTCAGTTTCATTATATCCAGTTTGAACCGTAGTTGTACACCTTGCCATGCATCAACCGTGGAATGTGACGAAATCAACGTGCCTGCAGCTGCGAACACTTCGGCGCGCGTGCAGTCCTTCATCGCCCTGCCTGCCTCCTCCGCAGCTGTCGCATCCCAGAGAAGCACCCGGTTGTCGTCACCACAGGTGGCCAGCTGCAGTAGCGGAAGTAGAAAAACAGAGCAAGGTAAATAAATTACAGGCACAGTGAAGCAACTGCAGAGCTAGTTAATACTTGGGGAACCTTGCTATAACAAACATGACATTGCGGCAAAGCTATGCTGGAAGGCGAGATAAATATACTATAGTTCACACTAGAAATTTTCAAATCCTGGTGCAAGCATTACTGGGGCTTCTTTCTGTTGTTGGAAAAAAGTTAGTTCAAGGCTTGCGAATTATAGAAAAGTGGCACTGAAGTCTTTATTTCTTACCTCCTAGCTTACCATGCTTCTGAACGTCAAAACAGAAATTTCAAGTGCCAAAACCAGCTGACGACAGAAAAGCACAGTGCGAAACTTTCCGCTATTATTGACCAGATGAAATTACTTAATATCCACATAAAGATAAGAAACCAGGTCCATTTCATTTCTATCAAATGGTACGGCTACTGTGCCTAGCAGATGAACCCACACACTCTTACCTAGCAGCGAAACACCACAAACATTAAGCCAATAGCCTATTGAAATTCCAAGGCTGTAACTTCGTCACTGATTGATCCAATGTTCACAAACATTACTGCTAAGTACACTGAAACCTTATTATAACAAAGCTGCACTTTACAAGAGCATAAGTTAATTATAAAGGTTGTTCTTAACATTGCATTTATTGCAAGACAACTTTTCATTAACTTCATTTTAATCGATATTTAAATATATCCATGTTCGTTATATTGAGGTTTGAGTGTATAAATACATTGTCCCGGATTCACATGTGCAACATATTTTGTCGTTTTTAGTCGAACCCCTTCTTTAAGAGTTGCTGATGCAACAGACAATGGGTACAAGGGACACCAGTGTGCCCACATCGAAACAGGTGTTAGACAGATAACGGGAACATTGTACCCTGCTCGTAAGATACACATCATGAAAGGAAGTAGAACTGCTCCCATGTGTGCACCTGCGATGAAAGGGCTTTTCAAATGTAAATCGAAGATGTCGGAGACAGGCAGGGACGTAAGCTTCAAAGAACTGCCCACCAAAAATGACGCTCGGCGTCACAGAGGAAGAAGAGACTCACCCTGGCAGGGTGGAAGGGGTCCCAGGCAAGTACGGCCACCTCTGCCCGGTGGCCGGAAAGCCGCAGTTGGGGAAACCCAGGTGTGTCCACCTGCATGCGGTGGACAGGGGTTCTCGACAAATGCCGCAACAGTCGTGGTGAAAAATTTGCGAACGCGGGGGTGTTACCGGAGCAGACTTTCTGAAAAGCAGACTAGTCTTTTTGAAGGCTGGCACATGAAGGCAGGTCCGCTTGGCGAAATGTCGGCTCCAGCGAAACCCCATGTTACGAATTTTTCGTCACAAGCTTACATCTTCCCCAAGCCCATTTTTTCATCAGTTATCGTGCAATCCCTGTTGTTAGGGGACAATTGTGCAAACCCATTCACAGAAACAGAAAAAGGTTAAACACCCTGTTTTCTTGCATTTTTTGGCCAATCACGCAGAACAGATGTGCAACTGTGACAGAAGATACACAAAATCCTAAATGCTTCTTACATGTGTCGCAGTTCCCTCTACACATTTATCTCATCATCATTTCTACCCTCAACGGTAATGACGCAATTCTTTCGTGCGTGTGGGAGAAAACAGCCAATCATTACGGTTGACGAGGCTGTGCTCAAATCATCTGCTAGCGCTTCTACCGCACTAAATTCAACGCTGAACACTATGTTCTGGAAAAAATGGCTTTCCTTCACTTCATATTACGGGGAAACTTGGCATACAATGGCAGCAGAAAGTTAAGCTATTATGCTGGTGATCACGTCAGCTCCACCCACTTTTTTTTTCGGCATTACCATGTAATCTTCACGACTTCATGCAGCATCGAAAAGATTTGTACAATAAAACAGGAAAGGTGACACTTACATTCCAAATATAGGCTGACGCGTCCGAAGAGCCACTGGCCAGGAAGCGTCCATCAGAGCTGAGACCTAGCTTAACGTAGAAACTATGGGTGCTGTGTCCGCTATAAACCGCCACTGCACCGATGGAGAAGGAGGGGGACAAGGGGGGTGAAGGGAAGCACTTGTTACTATATTTTTCCATTTTTTGTTCTAGAGAACACACACACACCTAAGGACAACACACAGCCCTACTGCAAGCACTGGCTAGAGAAAACAGGACACTAAGTTATAGACGAGATATCTCATCATATTACATTATCCGCACTACAAGCTGGCAGCGCTAAGAAAGCTAAAAAGGCCTCTCTGGCACTGCTTGCCCCCGCAACCAAAAAATAATTGCATGGCATAAAAATAATAATATTATTAATAAAAAACACGAATGTGTTCAGGATTTACCACAACTCCAGGTTTCATGCTGTTATGCCATGATATCCGATAAATGCATAACCCATAGTCGGTTACAATCTAACAAATGTGCTTAGTCATTTTAGCGACGTCAAGCACTTCACGAGTGTTTCACATTCCTGCCTTTCCCACACAAGACATTTCGTTGCTGGCTTTAGGGTTGCAAACTTGGAACGTCTTCGTAAATTCTGTCACAAATTCTGTCATTGCTGCTCTGCCAAAACATAATGTTCCAGGTAGCGACAACAAACCTTTAGCTCTCCTTATGCATAGTATTTACATTTTACGAGAAAACGTGCTTACAGTTCGAAGAGAAATCGGCTAGCACAACTGCCTTTCAAAGGTGAATGCAAGTGCGTTGCAGTTCGTAGGGCAAACCTTATCTTTCATTATTATTTTTTTTTCGTGGGTTGTAATCGCTTATAGCAACCATAGCAGATTTGAAGCCTACTTACAAGAAGCAAGGCGACATGTTCCTGTACTTAGCAGCCACACACGATTCACACTCCTAGCGAAAAGTTTTCAGACCGCCCCGACAGTAATTGGTTCTGTTTTGTAGGGCACTGCGAACAAGGTTTCAATTTAAAGCAGTGTCAAAGTAAATGTACTTGTATGTTGCAAGCTGAAATACCCCTCACCAGTGAAACCAATAGCTTTGGAAGCAATTTGAAAAGCTGCTCTAACAAAAAACATATTTTCAGAATAGCTTTTAAGAACCCCTGATAGGTACAGAAAATTGCTGTAGCTGCAAATGCAGTATAAACCGCTTATAGCGTAAGTTACCAGTCTTGAATATTTGCACTATAAGTGGTACCGCACTATAAGCGAAAGGACCTTTTTCAAGGGCCGCAGTTGCACAAAACAAGCTGAGCATGTAGCCTCGTGTGTTGGAAAATGGAAGCATGTGATGCCTGGTGCTTACATCCGTTCTGATTTCCGAATGTTAAAATGACAAAAATTAGTGACCAAACAACTGCATTGCCAACGAAATGAACGTGACAGGGTGGGGAGGTCTAACGGGAAAAAATAGCAACACCGCAGAAATTCGCCGACTACTTCTCAGACCGCTTTGATTATGCACGTTACACAGAAACTCTGTTGAATCACGTCCGAAATTTTATGTTCTAAAAGACGCCAGTCGCTCAATTTCATGGGCGCGCACTTGATTCCAAGACATCACAATTGAATCGCAAACCACCATCCATGTGCTACACGTGCCATCAGTTTCATTAACGAAATGTATCTCTTCCATTCCAGCGCAGCCATCGCAAAGAATTTTGCTGGTTCCATTACAAACGACAACCTAGATTGCACGCAACCACTCATCCCTAAATGCAACCAACACTGATTATGCACTGTTCGGTGTGCTGTTGCCGGAAGTTTGTCCAAGACATGGAGATCAGGCGTCGAAAAAATTGCACTCAAGTGGTGAACCAAGAACAGCATGCGTGAAACGAAGTCTGCTTTTGCGATTGTGAGATCAATGACGAAAACCTGCCAAGCCTATGTAGGATCAGACACAAGCAGCAACGGCGAAAGCTTACGTAGTGAAGCCGTAAAAGCTTTAGAATTTATGGAACAGGAAGCTAGCGCAGTTGATAAGGTAAGAATCGCACGTGTCATCTTGAGCCGTGCGCAGCCAGAGCCATGCTAGCGACGCATAGTACACTGTAGCCGCGCCAGCGCCGGTGCTAAGGCGTCCTGGGCAACTGCTCTCCTTCCTTTTTAGCGAGCGCGTGCTGGAGTCTTTTTCTTTTTGCTCCCTCCGCCCTTTGTTCATTCACTCTGCGTACCTTCCTCCTCCGTAACGATCTCGTCACTCGCTCCCCAGCGCACCCATTTTCAGACGCGCACTCGCTAACGCGATTGTCACAAAGATTTTCCGGCAACTGCATTATAACTGGTCTTTCATCTTGGGAAACTGCACAATAAGCGGTATGTGTATAGATGGGGAGAGTAAACGGGAGTCGATTTTGCCAGCATTATAACTAGTCCTGCACTATAAGCAGTTACGTTAAAAGCGGTCTACACTGTATCAGCTTTGCATACATGAGAAACATTAGAGGCCGCCGAAACGATGACAGTGTGCGACGTACGAGGTTCCGTAGTGTCGCTGGCCAGCAGGTCATATTGGTATATGTGGTGGTCGGTGCAGCTGGCAAAGGCCCGCCTCCGTGACACGTCCAAGACGATGCTGGTGTAGCCTGCAAATGTGGAGACGAGCAAGAAGGAGGTTGTCTTCATACTCAAAGCACTATGCTGCAAGATGCCTCTCCACATCAGATGAGAAACCGCACGATTCGAAACGAACAAGCACTGCCATACTGGATTAAAGGGGCCCTGCAACACGTTTTGAGCATGGTCAGAAAACGCGGCCGATCGGTAATAGAGGCTCCCGACAACATGCGCGGCAAATATTATAGCGCAGTACGCGGCCTAGAATTCACAATAAATTATGAAAGTCAGCTAAAAATAGCTCTCTTCTCTCGATAAATCACGGAATTAAGCCCATCTATCAGCCATTGGCTGATTTGAACATGGCGTGCTTGGTTGTTACAGAGGTCGCTGCAAAAAGCCGTCACTTGTCCACACGCGCGCGATCGCACTGAAAAAGTTGCGTATTCAAAGAAAAAAGAAAGGAATGCTCAAGGTCACGAGGCAGGAGTGACGTTTTCGTTTGCCCCTCCCGTCCCTCCCTGCTCAGCTTCCAGCACTTTTCTCGGGACAAGAGAAGAAAGAATGCGATTGCAGCGTATGACAAATCTTTGTAACTCCGCTCGTACTAGACGAATTCTTAAAATTTTTGCGGCGTTCAACTTGTGAGGTAATATGCTTTTTCAGTGAGTCGATTCCATGGTTACCCGAAAAAGTGCTTTAGGGCCCCTTTAATATTAAAGCCTAACAATCAAATAACTTTGCAGTACACTCTTGGTGAATAGAACCTGAAAGGGCCGGCGAAATGACTTCAGTTTAATGAAATTTCCACTTACTGATAGGTGCGGAATTCACGTACTAAACTGATCATGTAGGAAGCAGCTGTTCATTTTAAAGAGCAGTTGCATTTCAGTATGCCTGTGCGAATAGTGAATTTTAGGTTTGAAGCGAATTGTGATTTTAGTCTAATGATTTCAAATCAAATTTGAATAGCATATATATCGCATATCACAGTGGAACTTTGATTAAACGTTTGCTGGTTTCATGATGACCCACATGTTACGACGAAATGGTCTGGACCTGGCAAAATCCCCATAGAAATAATGTATTAAAAACCTTGGTTATGCAGTCGAACCCCCCTGCAACGAAGCTGACGGAGCCTGGAAAAAATTCCGTTGAAGCGAAAATTTTGTTGTAGTGAAATAAAAAAAATACCGCTGATATGAGCTAGCAAAACAAAGAAACATTTAATCTCAAAATTAAAAAAATATCCGTTGCTTCTTATTCTTTTCCAGCAGCGTCACGACGCGATTCTCACTTATGCATAGCGAAGCCATGGTTAAAAAGCACACTGAAACAACGCCTAAAACCGCTTTCGTGAACGAACTAAACAGTTGCATTAACACGTTAACACCAGCAGCTGTCCACCATCAAAAGTAGCCGACAACGAGATGGAGGCAGGGTATCGTGGAGCATTATTCTATCTTAGACATTCTTATCATCCATCACTCGCGGCTAGTTGATTTTGTTGATAATGTGGACGAACAGCCGCTCTGACTAGTTACCACACTGGCCGAGCGCGTACATAATGATAAGCATTGGAATCAGAAAAGGCATTGTGCCGAGGTTGCACCCAGCAGCAGCGAGAAGAAAACCATGAACTGAGTGATTGAGATTCAACTTCGGATCGTCTGCGGCTCAAAAGCAAGCCAGTGGCAAAACAAAATGCAGGGCCGTCTCATAGCCATCACTATCGAGCAATGGCGGCACCCATGCTTGCTGAACAGCGGCGGTTTCTGGTGGTGCCAACGCTGTTTTAGACGTTTTAGACTTCATTGGCGCATTTTCAGGCCCTGAAAACGCATCGAAATTTTCAAGATTAAGTTTGCTGCATAGCAATAAGTATCTGAGCCTGGAATTGCATCGCAAAATTTCGTTGAAGCAGGATGATCTAAGAAAAAGTGTTTATTGTGACGACAATATTTATGCATTCACTCCTATGGACTGCTGACGGGGAATCGTGAATTTTTCGTTGTAGCGAATAGTTGAAGCGGAGTTCGACTGTACGAAGCAGTTGTACACCGACCCCGTATTTTACGACTTTTGAATTCTGTCCAAAAACAAAAACCAGCTTTACTCAAACCAAACCTCGATGAAATAGTATTTACGAGTGTAAAATATTAGCTTGCGCTCCCGTAGGTTGATTATTGAAGAAGTAGAGAGTGAGACGGGATGTCTTCTTAGAATGAAAAAATTATTCTTCTGGAAGTTCATGGACTTCTACATAAGCCTCGATTGCATGGGTACATATCCGGGGTCGCTACCTAGTCAAGCTCTGTCCCCACAGAGTAGCTTCAGTCGGACGAAAGGCTGATATTTTCACATTTTTGTTACGTGGAAACTTTTCCTGGTCGACATACAGCTGATCTCCTGCCTTTGTCGCATTCGCAGGGGTAGGCTTGCACGCGCATAACGGTGTGGCGCAGCTGTTTTCACCGTGCAAAACTACCTTCACTGGATGTCAACGTTTGTAATAACAGCGGGACACCACTACTAGTTGCACTTCCCAAAACAACAAATTACAAGCTCAGCCACGCATGAAGGCATTCTACAAACTCACGGACAGAACCACAAATAACACATTAGGCAACAGTCGTGTGTTCACTTATAAAGAGTCTTTTGTAGAAACCAACCGGAGCGTACAAGATTACAGCAACACCGAACGTGACTCACCGTGAATGGCCGCGCTGCGTCCCGTGTAGGGCACGCAAATGGCCGGTCGAGGATCATTGTTGTAGAGCTGGTAGTTCTTCCGCAAGTCCCACACCTTCAATGCCCTGCAAAGCGCATTCAATTTTCACAGCTATCACGACAAAAACGATCTACCAACTTCAATGTCTCGAGAGAAACGTTACTCTCGCAATGTGGTATTCTAGGAAGCTGTAATGCATATTTTGCTTCAAACATAACACGCAACGCTACAATCACTGAACAATAATTTGGCCTTGAAGAAGACAGTGAAAAGTCCTATAACTAATAGACCAAAATACCTAAATCCCCAGAAAATATGTGACCTAATTCCACAAGTGGCACTCTCGAAAAATGTACCCAGTACTCTATTAGTTTCAGAGATAACACGAATTAGGGTGGCCAATGAAAGACTCATCAGAATATGCGAGTGAAAGTGTTATTAGGACGGTAACAAGCTCACCGACTATCCTCATGCAATCACCGAAAACGCTATAGGCCGTTGACATACCCATTTTCAGTCGCTTGAAATATAACGAAACAAAAAGATTGCTATGCGTGCATGGTCTGAACAGTCTATGGAAATGATGAGCCATTTAAAGCTACACATTTTCTTGCACCATTTCCTTTTCCAATCCTTGCGTTTCGATAGCAGAGTGGCACTCCACCCATGTTATCAACTGTGGTAATCAAGAATCTAAAGTAATGATCTGCTGAAGGCAGCAACATCGTTAGATTACTTCTGGCTGCTCAAAAAAAGTGCCAAATGGTAAAAATCTGGTTTTCACGGAAAAGTGGACTACAAAAGCCTCCTACATTGCTGCGAATGCCCAAGAGCAAACAAGTCATTTGCTCTTTCGAAAGCCAAGGCTCGCGAGTAACAAGTAATGCCTCGAAAGGTCATCGACGTGACTGAGCTATCAGAAACCATATTCCTGCCAGAATCACCAAGAAAAATACCTACCCATTGCTGGCACCACATGACACCAAGTAGTGCTCGTTACGAAACTCGCAGGCAGTCACGCTACAGGATGATGGCGGCTGCGACAAATAGACAGAGAGAGAGAGAAAGTAAGTCCCCAACTTTCACAATGAAAGGCTCCTTCAGCTTTCAAAGAGTGATTCAAAGCTCCAATGCTTATGCACTTGAACTGCTATCAAAATCAAACTGTGGCGTTATGCATTACCAAGCTACAACGAACGCTACAGCATAGAGGCCTATAAGACCTATTGGGCAACTTGGTTCGACATGACCAATACGAAAATGAGCCCCAAGATAAGGACGAAAGGTGAAGACATGATACATGTCTCGTGTTCCAAATTTTCCTCTCCTTCTTCTGTGGGCAATCTTGCACCCACCAAAAGAGTGTACCGTAAATACTCGAATCTAACGCGCACCTTTTTCCCGGTTAAGAGAGTTCATAAATCGCATGCGCGTTAGAATCGAGTACGAAAAAAAAAAAAAATGAATACGGTCATTCTATTGCCATCGGCATTTCCGAAATGGCCGCCCCTTACGTGCGTTGGCATGGCGCGTCGGCTATTTCTGCCTATGTGTTTCCCATGCGCAGCACTTCGTACGTGTGCCGAGGAGTTCGTCATCTTGTAGTGCATTAGCATCGACGGCATGGAAGGGCCGACTCCAAAAACTCGAGTGCACCACAATGCCGCTTTGCGAAAAGCGAGTGCACCACAATGCGAAAAGTTTTGCGGAGGAGTACGATGAAAAGCTTCACAGTCTTCAGAGGTTCGTCCTAAACTTGCGGCACAACAACGGCTACCTGCTTGGGCATATCGGGAATGCCGATCAGACGCCTCTTTACTTCGACATGCCTGGCACCACAACCGTCGAGAAGGGGGCGAAGGAAGTTCGCGTGCTGACATCGGTCCATGGTAAAACTACAGTGACGGCAATGCTCTGTTACACGTCAGATGGGCACAAGCTTCCCCTGTACCTCATGTTTAAGTGGAAGACGCTCCCGAAAGGAGTTGTTTTTTCGAGTGGTGTGATCGTGCGGGCCAGCGAGAAATATGGGTGCGCGTTGCAATTGATGTCTTACTTTTTTTTTTCGTCGTGGAAATCGGGTGCGCGTTACAATCGAGGGCGCAGTAGAATCGAGTAAATACGGTAATTTGAATACAGTACAACACTTGAAATTCTTCAACTTTTTGTGTTACCATACGTAAACCAAAGAACACGACCATTTTTGCATTCTGCTTATACAAGAATGTGTCCACAAGAACAGACACACAAATCTATGGCCTAGTGATCTGCAGTGCAGTGCAGATTTGTCAGCATGCCAACTGAGTAGCAGTGGCATGTCATGAAGGTCGTGAACCATGCACACACTTACGCCATACACAGTTGGAGCCACGAATGTGAATCATTTAAATGTTCGCTCCCTTACTCTACATCCCATTCTTTTTAAGCACTCCATGTTCTATATCTTTTCACTGTTAGTCCTCCAGTCTCCATAACCCACTTCACGCCGCCCTTCAGTTGACAGCAGGCTGTGCTAAATAGTTAGTTTAGTACAGAGTATTCAGCACTAACTGTCTTTTCTTCTTTTTTGGCTAGTCAAGGCAAACAGACAACTAATGAATACTACCAAAAGACTACTATTTTTACCCCTTCATTCACTACAGCCACTCACGCGCATGGCAGGCAGAGCCCACACAAACATCCTACCTGCCAATGCTGGTAACGGGTCTTCAAGTACTAGTCATTCCAGTCCGGAGTGGTTGTACGCGCGCGGCCACTGTTACAGGCAACCAAAGCGGGTAGTCGGACTCTGCGAAGTGCCACGATGGGTGCTGCGCATCCTCTCACTTCCCCGCAAGCAGCGAAACCTATAGTATTGCGTATGGTGAAGCAAGAGGAGCCGTAGCAGACGACGAACTGTTAACTCCACTTCTAGCGCTGCTCGTGTCGCATTACTTCCCGTGGCACCCGCTTGGTGGCTCAAGAAGTATGGCAATGTGCACCCTGTTACCTTTAACAGTGGTTGCACCTGTACAATACAAACTGTCACGATAATGATGAGCAGAAGATGCTCAGGATAGACGGTGGTTCACTGCACACGCACCGAGTTGTTGTGCACTTACCATTGCCAGGGCGGAGAGCTTTCTTTTCCGGACAGGCGTGGCTCCGCATCCTTTGCAGTGTACCCTAGGAATGATCATCTCTGAAAGAAACATGGATGCATACCTTGACTCTTTTTTCTATGATGACTAGGCTTGTGCGAATATTCGAACGACTAAATTTTCGGAAACTTCGTATGCTACGTCTATGGCACCCAGAGATTACAATGTACTTCCATTTTATTGATCAGAAGCTAAGTAGGACACAGCAGACGGCTTTAAAATTTTACGATGTCACAGTGTTTGGTGTGGGAATATCAAGGTGGCGTCTCCACCCAGCTTCTTTTCTCGCGATTTCTCACTTACCAAAAGTCGTGTTGCGGTAAGAGTGGCGTTTTTGTAATTGTGAAATTATACTTTACTAATCTGCAACAAAGCGTTTTGCTCTTTGGTGTCTCTTGAAACGGTCAGCAAAAGCATTAGGCCCCAAAAATACTCGGTCGGGGATTCAATGCAACTGTGTTTATACTATTAGTAAGTTTCAAGCGGATGCATATAAATGAGGTTTCACTGGAGCAAAATTTTAGAAGCAGTTGGGTGCAACTTACAAGCAGTAAAACATGTTATTCTTTAAGATTTGCTATGAGCTGCAATAATAACACACGCTGGTTTCCCCTGGATGGATGGTTTCATAGCATAGGTAGTTCTATGGTGCACCACACTGCAGTGAAACCCTCTTTTCAGGACAGTCACATGAAGCCGAACATGCACCTACTCATTCATTCCTTGAAATTTTAACACACACACACACTGAAATGAATTTTAATATTGCAAAAATCGTTCAAACATTTCAAATCACAATTCAACTGCTGATTACGATATGACTAACATGTGCATCAAACTTGATCTGGGTTAGTTTGGATTGTGTACTAGCTAGCAACTATTGTTGATCGTTTTTAAGAAATCTGGTCAAGATCAAGCCTGACTATGATCCAAGTGTTCGTGGGCCAATGGTAATAAAGGAAAGCAAACTATGTGTCAGAAGGCAATGACCTGACATTGACTACAGAGCAACTTGACTGATCAGCAGAAAACATGCACAAATAGCTGACCACAGAGTGAAATGCTGCGAAAAATTTTTGTGCGGGAGACTTACGAGGATCGGAGCAGCGAGTGTCCCAGATCATCAGGCTGCCGTCTCTCGACCCCGATGCAAATACATCTGTAAAAAGACGTGCAAGTTCACATTCATGAGCCGTTTTCATTCATGTTGCTTCATACATCACACAGAGTTTCCCCGAGCAAACTACAGCTAAGCATTAAAGGGACCCTGAAACATTTTGTTGAAGTTTTGTCAGCAGTGAGGCTAAAGCATAATCAAATGAATTACAGTCCAACCCACTTACTGTATTTACTCGCGTAATGAACGTACATTTTTTCTCGAAAAATTGGAGCAAAGTTGGGGGGTGCGTTTGTTACGTGGAGTAAATTGTATGAAAACTTTTTCGGGAGAAGAAAAAAAACGTAATGCACAAAAAGGTTAGGTTCCTTAGCCTTTCACCATCCACATACGCGTAGAGTTTAGAAACAGCTTCTTTGTTGCACTTTACTCATCTTCGGTGGTTGATGATGCTATCTTCTGCAAGCTGTCCCTTGCACCACCCACCCCATAAAAACATTACCGTAATTACTCGAATCTAACACGCACCTTTTTTTTCGGTTAAGCGAGTTCATATATCGCATGCGCGTTAGAATCGAGTACGAAAAAAAAATTACGGTCAATCTATTGCCATCGGCAATCCCAAAATGGCCGCCCCCTACGTGCGTCGGCATGCCGCGTCGGCCATTTCTGCATATGTGTTTCCCATGTGCGGCACTTCGTACGTGTGCCGAGGAGTTTGTCATCTAGTAGTGCATTAGCATCGACGGCTTGGAAGGGCCGACTCCGAACCACGATGCCGCTTTTAAAAAAAAAGTCATCGCGTGTGCAGAAACGGACGGAAATCGGGCCGCATCGCGGTCGTTCGGAGTTCCCGAAACGTGCGTGCGGGACTGGCAGAAACAAAAGCAGAAGATTGTCGACAGCAAAGCTTCACGCAAAAGCTTCTGTGGACCACAGCAGGGTCGGTTTCCGAAATTAAAGAGCTGCTCGGCGAGTATGTGCTTGAGCAGCGAGCGGCACAGCGGCCCGTGACGATAGAACTGCTCCAAGTGCGGGCTATGCAATTAGTCTTAGAAAAAGGTCTAAGAGCCAGTTTAAAGCGAGCAGGTGCTGGCTAACTAACTTTATGAAGAGGAAAGGCTTTTCCCTACGAAGGGGAACATGCATATGCGAAAAGTTTTGCGGAGGAGTACGATGAAAAGCTTCACAGTTTTCAGAGGTTCGTCCTAAACTTGGGGCGCAACAACAGCTACCTGCTTGGGCAAATCGGGAATGCCGATCAAACGCCTCTTCGACATGCCTGGCCCCACAACTGTCGAGAAGAAGGGGGCGAAGCAAGTTCGTGTGCTGACATTGGTCCACGGTAAAACTACAGTGACGGCAATGCTCTGTTACACGTCAGATGAGCACAAGCTTCGCCCGTACCTCACATTTAAATGGAAGACGCTCTCGAAAGGAGTCGTTTTTTCGAGTGGTGTGATCGTGCGGGCCAGCGAGAAAAATGGGTGCGCGTTGCAATCGATGTCTTACGTTTTTTTTTTTTTTTTTTCGCGGTGGAAATCGGGAGCGCGTTACTATCGAGGGCTCGGTAGAATCGAGTAATACGGTATGCCACTATCTTTTCTCGCAATCATTTAACTGCAACAATGGTATCTGCTTGTGATCTCAAAAGGGTGCCCAAACGCCGAAAAACAAGCACTCACGGGACAGTTTGAATGAAGAAAAAAAAATAGGCTAAAAAAGGGGGAGTTTGGTGACCTTCGCTCGATGTGTGCATATCAGCTGCGATGTCTCTACACTCGCACCGCTGCGAGCACGCTATAAGCGTGGTATGAGGTCCTGTTCTTGCATGACACGCATGTCAGGATTATCATGTTTGCACCAGTCATTTCGTCATCCATTGAGGTCACGTAACACCAAGTTTGGCATATGTGGAGCTAGCAAAATGGCCGCGAGCGCACCATGAAGGGCCCAATATACTTCAATGTCGCGTTGACGCGCGCGCGCACACTGGGCACGGCGAGGCTACGTTAGCAAAACGCAAGCACTCTATAGTCTGATGCCAGGCGCGAACGGCGCGACTAGTGTCCGTCGGCGTGGCCCGATGGCAATCAGTACGAATTGCAGCATGCTGCATTTCTCGTCGATGTGTAACACAACACTGTGTCTCCCTCTTTTCGTGATGGAGGGACGCCAGACATGCTGAAAGGCACATGCATCAAAGCAACGCAGCGCGGCGCGCACCTGTGAGTATATGGCAGGACCAGCCCCTGGGGTGACGCAGCGAAATGAACGTTGGCGAGCACGCGCACCATGTCACGTTGAAATGTATTGGCGCCTTGACTGTGGCATGTAGTCATGTTCTCACATGACACGCATCTCCTGATTATCATGTTTGCACTAGTCACATACCTTTGTCATCCATTGGTGTCACGGAATACCGAATTCGGCATATGTGAAGCTAGCGAAACGGCCGCGAGCGCATCAGTGTGGCACGTAGTCATGTTGTTACATGACACGCATGTCATGATTATCATGTTTGGATGTCATTTACCTATGTCGTCCGTTCGCGACACGTAATACCGAGTTTAGCACATGTGAAGCTAGTGAGACGGCCACCAGTGCATCATGAGCGTGGCATGTAGTCATGTTGTAACATGACACGCATCTCATGATTATCATGTTTGCACCAGTCACATACCTTTGTTAGCCATTCACATACTGTAATACCAAATTCGGTACATGTGACGCTAGCAAAACAGCCGCGAGCACATCATGAGCATGGCATGTAGTAATGTCGCTACATGACACGCATGTCATGATTTTCATGTTGGTCTGTCGCTTGTGTTCGCCATGCAATCATGCCATACCATACCAGTTTTGCAACGTGCCATGAGAACGAAACTACCGAAGAGCTGCAGGACTATGAAATATAAATCACGACATACAGTCGACTCTCATTAATTCAAACTCGAAGGGACCCCTGGATTTTGTTTGAATTATCAGGCTGTTTGAATAATCAGAAGTTCTCATATATGCGACTCTGGGTAAGGTGACAGCACAAATTATGATCAGACATCTATATTCACACTTTTAAGCATCTCTAGATCCTAACTACACAAAAACAGAGAGCGGTGCATGTATGGTCAACAAGTTTATTGACTATCTACTGCTGACTAGACCTTTTAAAAAAATCATGGATGGTCAACTGCTTATTTGCCACATGCGCATTTAGCACAAAGCTCTCGATGCCAGTAAGTGCTGCCAGTTGATTCTGAGAGTTTTCTGTTGTTGTCAGAAATTTTCTCACTTTAGCAATGTACTGGAAAGCCTGTGCAGTTGTCACATTTTCCACTTCCGGTTCTTCTTTACTTTCACTGCTGTGTTGTGCTGGCAGCACCTCTGCCACCAAGTCATCGAGTGTGTCCTCCCTGCACACGCACAGGTTATCATCAGTAGCTGCATAACTGTCGAGGTCGGCAGATATGTTGTGCGCTTTTAGAGCAGACAGCACTTGGCTTTCATCGTCGCCCTCAGTCTGCAAACAGTCAGATGAAGTGGCAATGCTGCAGCCAGGTATGCGGAAGGCATGCTCGAAGCAGTTCCTTATTGTTGCTGATGTGACAGCATTCCATGCGTCGGCAAGCATGCCCAACGATGAGAGTAGTGTGACACTGTAAGGCATGGAATTGTCCATACATATCAGCATTCTCTTTAGCAGTGTTTTCCGGTAATTAAGCTTCAAGCATTTGATTACCCCTTGATCCAGGGGCTGGAGGACAGCTGTAGTGTTAGGAGGCAGAAATTCAAGGCGAATTGCTTCCAGCCCCTCCACGTCGCCGTGCGCAGGGCAGTTATCAACAATGAGCAAAATTTTCCTTTTCGCTCGCTTCATTTGCCCATCCAGTTTGCGGAGCCAACCCTCGAACAAAGCTTGCGTCATCCAGGCTCGCGTGTTTCCGTCATATGCAACTGGGAGCGTTCGGACGCCTTTAAAGCACCTGGGACGCTTTGACTTGCCCACAACGAAGAGTTCTGGCTTGTGACTTCCGTCTATATTGGCGCAAACCATGACGGTTAACCGTTCTTTGCTCAGCTTTCCGCCAGTGCAACGCTCTCCCTTGCGACACAAGGTTTGATCGGGCAGGCACTTAAAAAACAGCCCCATTTCGTCGGCATTATATACATCAGCCGGGGAGTATTCAAGCAGCAGGCTTTGAAGTCTAGTCTGCCGCCAGTCAGAAGAAACAGCTTCATCGACCACTACTGCTTCACCACTCACTGTTTTGAAGGAGAGACCGTGGCGTTCCTTGAACCGAGAAATCCAGCCATCGCTGCACTTGAAATCTTCAATTCCCAAGCGCAAGGAAAGTTCTTCAGCTTTCTCTCGTAGGATTGGCCCATTTATCGGTAAATTGGAGCTCCGTGCGCGCTTGAGCCAAAGAAGCACGGCGTTTTCGAGATCCGGGTACGCAGCTTCCCTAAGCCTTTTCCAATCGGGAGCGAAGCGGCTCGCGTTATTCTGCAGCTTGTCTTTGGCTTTCAGAATGGTTGTGAGAGTACTTTTGGTTATTCCATACTTCAGTGCCACTTCGGTCTTCTTTACCCCAGCGTCGACTTCTTGGATAGCGGCCAATTTCTCTTTTAGGGGTAGTGTCCGATATTTTCCTCGCAATGACATGGTCGATCGAAAAATGCGCAGCACGTAAGAAAGACGGGCAGACCTGTACGCATTCTGTGGGCAGGTCACGTGCTTCGGAGTCGGCCGGCGCCACCGGCACGCCGGAAAAGCAGAGATAAGCCGCGAGCCAGCTTCGTAACCACCGGGCCGTTTTTGTTTTTTTTTCCACCGCGGCGCGGAATGCTGAGAAATGATTGTGTGGCAAAACCTTTTCCCTTGAAGTTTTAAGGCGCTTATTTTTCAATATCAGACTATTATGATAATCATAAGCACGCAAATTTTCAAATATTGCCGGCAAATCAGCAGAAATTTTCCGGTATGGACAGGCAGAAAGTACGAATTACCCGAATGACGAAGTTTGAATTAAGCGGCTTTTAAATACATTGAAAGCATAGCGAGCCAACCAAAATTTTGAATTTTGTATGAATTAACCGAAAGTTCGAATTATCAGAGTTTGAATTATCGCGAGTCTACTGTACATGTCATGATTTTCGTGTTATGACTAGTCAAATATGTTTTTCATACAGTCATGTTATGCCATATCAAGTTTGGTATCGATACCATTATCGAAACGGCCAGGAGAGCTAAAATTCGTAGGCAGCTAGATAGATACGGTCCAAGTCGCCGAAGTTCGCTAAGAAATGCGAAGCATTTCTGAGCAATACGGCACGCTGCAACAAGCGAGGGGGGGAGGGAGTGAGCCAAGGTAGTTGAGGGGGGGTTGAAAAAGTAATCAAAAAAGGAAGAGATCCAACGGGTGTGAAGGCGCCAGGTGTCCGTTAGTGGCACTGCAGCGGATGAATGTAGGGGGTGCGTTTATTATGCGAGGGTAAACAAGAATCCAAATTTTGATGACTGAAGTTGAGGGTGCGTTTATTATGTGAGTGCGCTCATTACGTGAGTAAATACAGTATAACGATCCCCAATATAATAAACATTTTGAGGCACTTATGATTTTCCTATGCTACTCTTCTATGCTACATTTTTCAATGCTACATACGGCGAACATTTTTCACAACTTCCTACTTTTACAACGAACACTGCCGACACCGTCGTGGTAAAAATATGGCACACACGTAGTGAAGAAAATGTTAAAACAGGCATTCTGAAGCATGTGATAGGCGCGTGCTCTCGCCTATGTCCCACTCCAGTTGACTTGTGATGAAGATAGTAGACACAGATTTTGGACGTTGCAAAACAAGGTTGCTCACTTTCCAGACGTTTCTACAGCGGTAGGATAGAAGTGAGGGGAAAAAAAAAATGAAAAGAAATAAGAGGCAGCAAAAAGACTGCGGCCAGCTTTATCACAGCAAACTTTCCTGATGCCGTTCTCGACATCTACGACCGCCGCCTATTAATGAACAATGCCTTCGAGTGCAAGAAGCCGTGAATGCGAGAAGCAATAATTTCAGTAGCATAAATGTCAACTCTGATGCTCAACTCTGCAACACCACAATGTGCCGAAAAAGTCTCCCACTTCTCTGTAACCGCCGAGACCGGTCGTTTAGTGATAACTACCTCCGCGCGGTCGCGACGGTGCCCTAACGAATAAGCATCAGAAAAGATTGATGGCAAGGTGGTCCGTGTCGACGAATAAGCCATTTGGCTCATCGCCGGCAACCTTATCACAGTCGTCCGCAGATAGTTGCTCGGCGGAGCGACGGCGGTACAAGCGCGTCGTGCTGCCGTTTGCAAGTTTGCCACAGCCGTGTCGTGCGAGGCCGCTTACGTGTGTTGCTCGCAAAATTTTTCGTTGTGTTAAATGAACAAGCTATTCGCTGCACCCGAGCACAATTCCGAGTGACGCACGCACGAAGAAAGCACAAACGTGAGCATACAATGGACTGCCAGCGCCCTGGCACGCGACGGCGAGAGCCGAGTAAGTGACGTGCTGCATGCAACTAGCCAGGGATGATTGGACGTAGCGGTACTGTGCTTTATGGAACGGCACGAGTTCATTGTGAAGGTGGTTGAATTCCCTCGTGAGCAAATGGGCATTGTTTAACATGTGTAAAGATCTAACTTATCATTGGGTGGGCCCATAAATTACGAACTATTGATATAACGACCATTTATCGCGGAACTTTCAAGTTCGTACTAAATGGGTTCGACTGTACAATGTCATTAGGCGTCCTTGCAGGCAGCATCAGTGGCCTCACATATGTGCTGCAAACAACTAACCAACACAGCGTGCAGGAGAAGACGCAAATAGGTTGTAACCGAAAATGGACAGCAGCGGTGCAAGCAGCCTCCTATACCTCGCCATCGACAAACGAAACCTGCAGATGGCATTTGCCCACCTGCAGGCTTTATTGTCCCACTAAATAAGCTGGTGTTCTGTTCCTGGGCAAGTGATTGGTTCAGAGGCTTGTGACTGAAAAATCAAACAACGAGCAACTGAACCGGAGCAGTCGCACAAACAGTGCTAGTTGCAAAGTAAACAAGCCTCAAAAAAAAAAAAAAGAAAATAGGGACAATGAGGAACTTACCAGCGTGCTCTGGAAGGAAGCGGACACACTTGACGCTGCCCTTGTGCCCTTGGAAGCTGGCCACCCTGGTCTGCTGCTCAATGTCCCAGAGGCGAACCGACAGGTCCCCACTAGCCGTGGTAAGATGACTCCGCCCGGGCCTTGGGCACACGTCGAAGATGGCATTTTCGTGTGCCTGCCATGCTGTTGCGATGAAAGACGAGGACTCGCGTAATCAACTTAAAGACTACAGCAAAGAAGGAATAGCAGAGAAAGAAAAAGTGGGGATGGTAACCAGTCTATAAAATATTTTCGCTATCCTACTGGGGAAAGGAATGGGAGAGATTTAAAGGTTTCTAGACAGTCATGGCAAGTCACTGGTCATATACTTGCCGGAGCAAGTCTGATGAGTTCCAAGAATGCCTTCACCCCCGACGACCCCTCGGGATGAAATTCTAAAATGGTTTCTGCCGTCATCGGTTGGTGATCTATCGAGCTAGAGTGACCGCGAGTGGTTGTCTCTGCGCATCGCAGCGAGGACAACCATGAAAGATGGGCTGTTACATGACATCACCATGGAAGTTGTCACAAAATGGGTCCCGTCACCGAAGACAACAGCAGATTTATCCCTATTCAAGTGCTGCAGCCCAATTAAAGGCAATCGAAATTACTAGGTACCTTATTTTCTCCAATACAGCCAGCACAAAATATACAGAAGATACCGACTGTGTGCATTTCTTCAAAAGAGTTCATGCCTATCAGAATGCACCTACTCTTACTACAATGCACGACTTTGTGCCGCGACATGCAACATCGCAAACCACCGAGCACTCACACGACTTCAAGGATAGGCGGACATCAGACTGGCCTGTCTGCAACAGGTGAACCATGCCATCCTCATCGGCGATGGCCAGGAGGTCACGAAGGTCTGGCTCTGAAAGAGGTGCAACAGGGTCAGGTAATGAAATGGGGGTGGGAAAACCCCAAAATAATGCAAAAAAAAAAAAAACGAAAGTCTTGTGACCACAACTTATTTCCACTCCCTTTCTGACACAGTGAATCAACCATACGAAGAATAACTGCCAAGCAAAAAGCAATTTGGATAAGACTAATGTGCATAAGTGTTTTTAGAGGCTCTTAGACACAACTATTCAAGGGTATTAAAGAAGCATTTGAGGAAAATCGAGCCTCCCGATGAGTGGAAAAAAGGGTTTATTCACAATAAACTGCAACACGACTCCATGGGTTGCTGCTGCTGTAGCGCGTGAATCAAAGGCAGAACAGTTTGTCATCTTTTTCATGAATCTTTTTCCAACATCATTAAAACGCTTCAAAAGCATTTTCCCAAGGTGCAAAGCAGCATTCCACTGCTTAACTACAGTAACATCGTAACCAACCTTCCCCCAACAGCTTTTTCTGGTCATGAAACTACCATGCCTCAGTTTCACGTAAAGCTAACAGTGGCCACTAGGGGGGACACAGCAAGAAAAATGCCACCCAGTTGAACAACCACCATAGTTAACGACAGTATTTTTTCTTTCGTACATCACGACTGAAAGCCCCACTCTTTTCAGACAAGTCAAGATTTACATTATATTTCTTTTACAACATTCACATTCTATTTTAGCATATTATGAAAACTTAACTTGGAACTTCTGACAATGTTTTCTTACTGAAGCCAAGGCACATACAAAAGTATACAAGTTCAAATTCAGCTGTCGTCTTAGTGTACCAGCACATGATGCGCATAGTAGACCTTTTTTGTTACTCTGAAATTTGTCTTTAGCTGACCCAATAGGCCTCAAATAAAAAGGAAAAAAAAGGAGCTGCGATTACTATGATGCTCTTTACAGAGAAAGAGACTTAAGCGGCATTTTATTAAATGCAGGACAACTAACCAGCACTCAAGGCTGAACACTTATTTCCTGAACTTCAAAATACACGTGTATGCCACTCCAGTAGTGGTTACAAGCTAATTTTATGTAACAGATAATGTTACAAGACGTAATCTTGCTTGCATTTGCCAGTAATATGTTTGGAACCGATACATTGGCAGATTGTAGTCGCCAATGAAATGCTTGCTTCATGGGAACTGTTGTCGTTTTCAGGCCTCGAAAGCTTTGCACAAGAAGAGAAATTCAACCTCGTTGGCAAGACAATAGGCAATTATTTAGCTCCAAGCGACACGAGGATGAGAAAGGAGGACACAACACGTGCGCTTGTGTCCTCCCTTATCGTCCTTGTTTCACTTGGCCCTAAATAATTGCCTAATATCCCGAAAGCTTTGGTAGTTTTCGTGTGCATAAGTTGAATTGTGTGACGCAGTTTTACAATGCCATTTTCGTTGTCAATATCCCCAATGAAAACCGCGTAAATTATTATTGTGCCCCTGACAATGCATTGTATTTCTTAATAGCTATGTCACACAAGCAGGCTGACAAGGATTGACGCACGTTTGCATTCCATGCCATAGTTCCCTGGCGAACTAGAACGCTTGATATGATTGTAATCGAAGATCTTTATTTGAAAGAAAAAATGAAGTGCAAATGCTTATCGAAAATAACACATAGCCATCACCTTTACTCAGCACAAGGGTAGTGTGCTGAGTAATAAAAAGACCTTCAAAAGGAGTATTGACACAAAAATCTTGCATATTGTTTATTTTTTGCTGTTACTACAATAAGTAGCTGATAGCTTGTCGAGAATAAGTAATGTGTGCAATGAAATATAAAAGCAAAAAATTAATCTGACACTCCATATTGACAAATTCAACTTCTGCCTGTCACACGGGCCAGCGCCCTTTTACTCCCTCGTATTTATGAGAACTGAAATGCAGTCCGTGTCACATGGTATCCTTTATGTCAAGGAAGTTAAATGAAGCTTTTGGCAATGGAAGTTTGGCGATCTTCCTTAGCGGTGTAAGGGAGTACTCTCGTCCCCAGCAATTTGTAGTCAGAGAAAAAACCGCAAACGTAAAGCAGCCCCAGTGAACGCAGTAACAAACTTCAACACCATTAAAAGTTTTCACTGCATTATCCGCTCGTAAGGCGAGTTCAACGAAAAGGAAAATGCACATACAAGTGTACGTACTCTCCACACCATGCTTTGCCAAAAGCCACTGTGTCACCATTTTGAAAAAGTTTCTCCATGCCAGCCATTCTATCCATGCGCACCCCGGTGTTTACATCTCTACAACTCGTTCGCTTCTTATTGTTGCACTCCTTATTCTATCATAGCAGTGGTATACGCGAGTTTTTGTCCTCCTTTGTCTATGCCAGTAGTTGCACCGGCACTACATGCCAACTGTTGTGACTCAACTGCAGCAAGGGCTTCGCGCACTGATCGCGAGACCTGTGCTCATCCGATATTGTAAAGAACACCGTGATCTACGCAGTAGAAAAACTTTAAAGATTGATATGTCAGGTTTAAAATTCCAAAACCACCATATGATTATGAGAGACGTCATAGAGGAGGGCTCGGAAATTTCGACCACCTGGGGTTCTTCAATGTGCGCCCAAATCTGAGCACACAAACCTACAGCATTTCTGCCTTCATCGCAAGTGCAGCTGCAATTCGATCCTGTGCCCTGCAGGTCAGCAGCCGAGTACCACAGCCACTAGACCACCGCGGCGGGGCAAAAAACTTCAAAGAGATGAACGACAACTTGCAGTGTGTTTGACAATCAGCGTATGTAGCGAAAACGGGTTGCAAAACAAATGTACAACCTTGCCAGCATTCTTGTCAACATTACTGCTGACTTGCTTGCAGGCGTAAGCGTCTGCGATAAAAGCCAAAACATTTTTTTCTTGCTTTGGCGTACATAAATTATTATAGTTTATATAACCACACGTACAATCCAAACTGTTTTCAGAAGTATTAGTCGCAAAATCTTGCATGCGGAGAAGGCTCTGCAGCGCCTAATGGGCAACCTTGCGGCTTCTGTTCAAAGCTTGTAAAATTTTCTTTATTCTTCTTTATTCAATGATTACCCCCGCTTAGCCCGAAGGCGCTGCAGCAGGGGGGTTACAATGTCGAGAAAAACACATCTTCATTAATACAGCACACTTGTTCATTTGATAAGTGATTCCATTCTCTAATGGAACGAACAAAAAACGAATTAGCATACAAATTAGATCTGGTACGGTACTCTAAAATCTTGAAACAATGATCATTTCGCGAAGAGATATAATGAGGCCTGTGAAGGTACTTTTCTTTTCGAAAATTACAGTGTGACACTCCATCTCCGTCAAACTCCCTACGGGAGTTTTACGTTGGTGGGATTAAACTGAGTTCGGCGGTGGCCGTGTGACAGGGGTATTAGGCAGTGAAGCATACTATAGGTGTCTTGCAAATCGGGTGTTAAATTAGCGTGTCTGACTATTTGCAATCTCCTCTAGATGTGACACACCCAAGTTGAACTGCATTCAAAACTGGGAGTCTGCCACATCTGTGTACACATGAAAAGGAAAACGGGTCACGATTTTGAAACCATCATGAAACTTAAGAATTCCCAAAACAGAATATTAAATGCAGGGATATAAAAAGCCTTGAAGAAACACCTACACTTCAAGACTTTTCAAGGACTTCATGGGCGTGTGCACCCTCTCTGTATAGAACCACAGTTTAACCCCAAAGAGGGACATCTTATACTTTGATTACCAGAGTTTCTATTGAAAATAACAGGCACGTTATGTTCTTATACCAATGACACATTAAACAATGGGTCACAAAAAATTTATACATCAACATGTGAGCCGCAGTACTCTGAAATGTTTAATATTCCCCGCAATCTTTCCATCGAAACATGTTAATACATAGCGATGTAAACTGCGCCTCTGTCTATGCACTTAGTAATAGTATTTGCAGCCTTGAATTTCAAAAGTAAGAACGAGTTATTTCACTGTGTTTGGTCCACTTGAGGCTGCATGTACTATCAGCATTAAATGAAGCCCAAATAGCGGCAAGCCTTCGTTATGGTATAGTGCGTGCCGTCCAGTCATCGTGATTGACAGGCACACGCATCCTGTTCGGCAGTTCTGCGCATATGTGCGTGCCTGGCCACGGCGATAAGTTGGCAGCGCACACTATACCATTACGAAAACTTGCCGCTGTTCAAGTTTCATTTGGCACAGATAGTACATGAAAAGGTATTAGGAGCAGAATGTGTTATTTCACTTTACACCTCATTCATGCCAAAATACATCTCTTTTCTGAATTAGCACATTTTTTTTTCATAATATTACATTACATACTGTACACAACTCTGCATGACCCTAATCAGGACTTGCAGTAGTGCAAAACGAACGAATTAATAAGTACCTGGAAAGTAGGTACAGGCCAGTGGGGGCAACTCTTCCTGCTCCTGCAAGGAACACATGCATGATTTCACTGCACAGGCATTTCATGAATTTATTAGGAGAGACTGATGGGCTCGGTATTATGGCATCATGAGCGATGCAGTGCAAAATACATGCACACACACCCAAATGTCGACAAAAAACACAGTAAGTCACAACTGAAGATATCATCAAATTATACAAGGCTTGCACTGACGTCAATGAAAATGGCATGCTGGAGCACCAGCATGTGGGTACGCGAAGTTTTCGATGTCGCACGGAAGTTCTTGGAACATCACATGCTGGTTATTTCTTATTCACGCACTGTGATGTTCTCGGCACACCATTTTCACATAGACACAACTTGTTTCTTATGTAAGCCACCATCATAGAGTCCCAGTTCCCTTCAGAGGCTGCGTCCATGACGTCCCGTGCAAGCCATGTATATGATTAAGATCATAATCGAAGTTTGAGCTAGTTCTCTGTCAGTTTTCTTATTGGAAAATGAAATGCTTTTGTCACGGCAAGAACATGTCTTGAATTAACTTCTTGGGTTTAGTTATGTCTCATTTCCTTTTTGTTTTGCAATGATATCAGTCGAATAACGTGCAGTACCAACTGAAATTGGCCGACAGTCGGCAAACAAGTGGGCAGGGCTCGGCAACGATGGTTGCCTGCCAACCAACAATTGCACAAAGTGAAGCCCTGATTGGTAACCAATATCGCTTGCTATTTACTTGGCCGGAGACGTTCAGACAAAGGTTGGCAAGTGATGGGGAAATTGCTGGCACCCAATACTCGGGCGACCAAATGTGGTCAGTCGTTGGGCCATGCTTTGCTACCTACCACGTTACCCAGTTAACTATGGGCCAGCCATAAGCCAACATTGCATGGTATCCGTGGGTGCAATTCTTTTTTTCCCCACACACCGCGTATATCATTTCACGGTCAGCATAAATTTCTTGTTTGAGGGTTCAGCGTCGGTTTGTCAATGCACGAGATTATTGAATCCATCTGTGCACCACTTGCCATCTACAAGGTTGGCCTCAGGCATGTGTGGGCAGCCAGAGGTCGGCCCCGGCCCGTGTGAGGTCATTAACAAAAATCGCCCTCGGTCCAACCTTGTTGACCAAGCTAGGGACATGAACGGCTAGCTCGGCCATGCATGTTGGGCAAGCACCGAGCCGAGGTCGTTTTTTCAGTGGGGGACAACTCTTAGTTCTTACTCAACAACATGCCCCGTCTTGCCCGTCGACGTCCGTGAATAAAAAAAAAAAGAACAATAGCGCAATTACGTGCATAACTTCCAAGGGTTCACAACCTACTTCACGTAAAGCTTGTGAAGCTATAAATTCTCACAAGCAAACCACGGCTTCAATTTCAAATGCGGCCGAAGAACATGCGAATACCAAAAAACCCGTACCCAAACCTTGGCATGCAAATCCTAAACTGCGCGCCAGTTTCACACGTGAAGCGTAGGACTGCTGCACGCAACTACATCGCTCGCGAAATAACTAAATAAAAAAAAGCAATGGAAACAGAGAAGTGCCGTTCCGTGGCGATACCACGCACACTCGCAGCAATCGCCGCAACGGACAATGCAAAAATAATGATAAAAATTGAACGGCGTGCATGCACACAAGTGCCTGGGTTAAACGAGCGCGAAAGCAGGCACACGTCACGCACACATGTGTTCGCGTGTGTATGTACGGCTGTCCGAGATGTTATGGATTCGCAGTACCCAACTCGAACGGCGAAATTGTTTACATATATATACATGCACGAGTCTATTCCTTACACAGACTGCACGGTTTTAGATTTAGGCGCGCATATCGAGCGAGGCCTACAATTTGGGCGCGCACTCGCTCAGGACTAGTCGGCTTATCCGTCGACAAGTGCTAGAAAAAGGTAACGATAGAGACGAACTCTAAAGACAAGAAAGAATGACTTACGTTGTTTCGGGTGACATATTCATTCGCGGCCCGGTTGTGAAGATTCTTGAGGACAGAATAGGTCAGCGCACAAGTACGCCCATCGGTAGCTGCGATTAGCGTAAGCAAATAAGATAACAGATCAACACAGAATCAAGGTAGCAGAGTTATTTATGAGGCCCGACTGCTGCGAAAAGTCATTGGTGTACACCAGCAAACTCTCGAAAGACGCGACGCGATTCCTTAGCTGCGAACGGCGGATGAAGTAGATGCCAGTTCGTGCCCATTAAAGCAACAAAAGAAACTCCAAACGCCACTTCAACGCCAAATGCCTCTAGAATTTCAATATTGCCCAACTGGAAAGAATGGGCCAGCTTAAATTTAAGTTTTGGAGCTCACGCGCCCAACCGTTACGTAAGATGTCGGTTGTAAACTGGACGCTATTAAATGCCCGAACATGTTGGATCGCGCCCGGATGAGATAACGCTTCACAAAAAACTTACCCGACCGACGAAAGTATTCGTTCCCACGAATCACATTTAGCACGCTGGGACCCATCACCACCTCTGCTCGAAGTTTCTGCGATATTTTGAGCCACAATTATTCACCAGAAACTCGCATCCAACTTCTATCCACTCAATCAAACGGCCGCACGAGATCCCAGAATTTTTCGCGCAAAAAACAAATTAAGGCGGGTTTTCGCCGCTCGGCAGTCACGTGTGCAGTGTGACGTAACATCTGTGGCGCATTTGTTGCAACGTAACTTTCGTTCAAATTTTTTGTACCTATAATATATGTAAATAAAGCTATTTAATTTATTTAAAATAAAATAAGGCGTATTTTTTAACAAATAGACATTTCATTTTCTACGGAGCTGTGTTAATGCGGGGCAGGTTGCGAGCCGAAGCTTTGTGAGAGCTGCGGGCGTGTTGCCGGTGTAAACTTCTAGCAGTTTCAATTGATACGGTTTAATTTAACGATAACACAATGAAGGCGCCTACGCCGGTTGCATCTTCGACGGGTGGTACTGGCGACAAGTCAACTTATAAAGACAAGGATAAGCCGTCGCAAGTTCGCCAGAGCAACATCACCGCTGCTAAAGGTAATTTCGTGTGGGCGCACGTGCCTTAGGCCTACACACGCTGACACATGCGGACTCATCGAGATGTCTCGAGCTTTGTAAAGCTATTTGGTGCTCGGAAAATCCTAGGCGAGCATTCTTTAGGGACTGAAGAGAAATAAATCGGAAAGTTTGGGAACTGTCTCGTTTCGTTTCACTTATGTCTTGGGCGTTGAGCGGCGCTTAGTGGACCGACAACCCGGCGTTAGCCTTATAAGGCAAAAAAAGAGCAGTTACTCGACGTTCCACTAAATAGGGTTCAGATCTAGCCAAGTTGGTAAGAATTCATAGCCAGTACTAGCGAAACAGTGCAGCTAGTAGTATTTCAAGGTGTTCTTTTAATGAACTTTTTCAGGAAAATCCGCTCTAGTGTGTCTCCACTCTTCAGTCCTCGTCAATTTTGCGCCGCACTGCTTGTACTCGCTATGAATCCTCTGTGTTCGTATGTATATATCACCATCTGTGCGCTACGTGCTGCGTAAGTAAAGTGCTGTTAGTTTGCAGGTAACCTCTTCATGAACTGTCTTCATTGGTAGCGGCGAGCTTTTGCGAGTGGCTTCCGATCCGAAATGACTTAATCAGGTTTATATCGAATGCCGCGAACGGGTGATGGGCAAGGAAAATTGCACTAGAGGTAGTTTGCCGCGTCTTAGTGTAGCCTCACCATGCACAACGAAGCAGCTTGACGCTAAGGATGCCTACGAAACTAATAATCATTTAAGTATTTAACTAGTTGTATTATCAAACTACAGTCAGGATGACTACGTAATCTTTTTTTTTTTCTGGAAAAACCGCCTAGCCGCACCTTTAGCTGCCGCTTTGAGCATTTTTAGTAAATTCGACAATGCGTGTGCACTGATAATAGTCGGGTACACGTAGCCCCGTTACAATGATCTGGCCATGTAAAGTTGACAATGTACGAATACAAACACGTCTGGCATCACAGAAAAAGGGACGTTGGGACATGAAACATGTCTCGAAAAAAAAAAAAAAGTTACAAAGCATCTACTAGCCTGGAAACTTTTCCTTTGCAGTGGCTGAGAACGGGACAAGGAAGGCTGCGAGTATTGTAGAGCCCTTCAAGCCTCCACGTTTCATTCCTTGCATCTCGTTAACTTGTTGAAGGTCTTGAAGTTTTTTTAAATTTCAATGGGGGCTCTATGTGCCCCCTTGGCTATGGGCCTGCCAAGAGTAAAATCAGGTTCTTTTACAGTTCATCACATGACAAAAATAAAAACAGATCTCCAGCCAAAATTTAGAGTTCAAAGATATGTTCCAGCTCCCGCACCAAGTCGATCACTCTTGATGTTGGTGTGGAAAGCCAAAATATAGATGTTCCAGGCACATGTCGCATGAACTTGCTTGGATAATCGACGGATTAAAGACATCATATGGGCGGAAAGGCAGAATGTAGCATCTATCTGCTTTGTGAAATTGAGTTTGGCAGAATCCCGCCTGGCTGGGGAAATACATAGACGATAGGAGCAAAGCATTAACCAAAGTAAAAATATACTCATAAAAAGACATTCCACTACCCACATGGAAGGCTTGTGCACGTGGCTCCCATGTTGGAACTGAAACTAGCTGGCTTGTGCATGAACCAACATTCTTAGTAGACTGGTATTGTTTACTGTTAGCGTGATAGCAAAGGTTAAGGGAATGGCATTACAGTGCAGCAAACGCTCGTTGCGAATAGTGTCTTATAGTTTAGCAAGATAGCATTTACGTGCCCTAGCTGGAATGGTAGCGCCACCTATCGGAGGGTAGAAGAGAAAGAACAGTGAAGGAAAACGATATCTGCCTGTGTCATTGTGCAAAGCGTTGTTACAAGTTTATTTTAGTAATAATATAAGTAAGTAAATATGAACCACGCACCAAATGCGAAAACATTTGTTGCCGATTTGTTTACATCGGTTTTGTAGTTAGGCTTTCACACGTTCTAAATGGGAAGCTATGTTGTAAACTACACCAAATATATTTGTAATACTCGGTCGTCGAAGTTAACTGAAGGCAAGCAAAGCCACTTTAAACAGTCGTTTGCTGCGAACAAAGTGAATCTTTCAACAACTACGCCAAAATTGCTTCGAAGCGGGCGTCCGAGCGCGCCGCCATGTTTTACGTACACCTACGCTAACACATTATCGTTAAATCTGAAAAATAGCGCATGTGTGGTAAGCGGTACGGGTAATGTGCGTGTCTACGCATGTACATTTAGAACCACTATCACGGAACGCCTAGTATTCCGGTAAGCCCGGTATACTATAACTGTCTAAGATATATACTCTCTAGGCTTCTCTCGCACTGCGGTCTGGATGATTGAACTAAACAATTGGGCATTGAGCAAGGTTTCCCAGAAACACTCATGTGTGGAGGTTTTCCTTGCTTATTTTTTAGAGAAAACTTGCTTAGCATAGTAATAGTCTTTTTTTTTTTTTTTTTTAAAGCACAACCTTTGTATAATGTGGGACCCATTGTGCTTTGTTCTTGTCAAGTGATACCCGCACGTACAATTTTTTGGTTGAGTTTAGCGTTCAATTCTCCAGCCCAGTCTGCAGCCTTGTTAGATCATAATGTTGCATCTGATTTGATAATTTGCCTGACATGAACCTTGCAGCTGTTGCCGATGCCATACGCACAAGTCTTGGACCCCGAGGCATGGACAAAATGGCGAGTACTTTTATTACATTTGACATATATGAGGATGCATAACTACGCATTACTAATATGCATTATTAACTGAAGGGGTACTGATCTAGGTGCACTAGCTTTTTGTAGGACACAACTGCACAAAGCCAAGAGAGGCATGGTAAAAATTATGTGTTTGTAACGGAAGTATGACATATCCAGTGAAACTTTAGTGATATAAATCGCATGGGGTAACCAAAATATTCGTGACATTCAAAACTTGTACTACTAAAAAAATATGGAAAATTAGCCTGCAACAGAAGAGTTCTTGTGCGCATCTTTATTTGTTTTGCAGGACTGTTGCAAAGTCGCGCGTCACAGATCATACCTGTACTCGTAAATATCCGGCTCGTGCGCATGTAATTCGTGAACCACTTGTACTGCAATCGGCGACAGCTAGCAGCCCCATCCAAATCTTAGTATGCCCTTCTGCATAAGACCGAACCACTGTGGGGAAAGAGATGCAAAGAAGGCCTTGATGCGATAGATGAAGGCTAAGGGTTTAACGTTCGTGTCCGCACAATTGCCTATCCAACAATCGTGCATGTTGAGAGGCCTTGCCTTCATCCACATCGTCCTCATCTGCTTGTAGTCAGCGCCCACCTTTGATAGAATGTCTGATGCACAAGCACATTGTTTGCATGGACGTGGCTAGAGCATGTATTTGCAGAACGCATACATGCCAACTCTTTTGATATTACGGTAAAATGTGCGAATTTTGACTGTGGTTACGATTTACGAATCTTGCCTGATATTTTACGAAAAATATTTTATTTCAAATAAAAAAAAATATTTGTAGAATAGCATGGCCTCAGCGACTGGCTACGGCGCATTGCCGTAGCTAGTTGCGGAGGCCACAAAGACAGTGTTGTGCTATATTCCACCACCAGGAGAGAACAATATGTATTGGTGCTATCATCATCACATATCAGCAAAGTCTCCCGGATTTCGATCATTTCTTCCGTTTGTACGATTGTCATAAAAATCTCCTGAAAATCGGAGTTTGTGTGAGAGATCTGTGCACCAAACTGCGGTTGCGGCGATGCGATAGCGATCTACGAGCTCCAAGAGCACGTGGCTGACGCAGCAGTAGGATTAAAGGCAGTAAAGACGTAGAAAAGGCTAGACGCGAGCAAAGCCAAAGCTTCCGCCCGCGCTTTCGCGGCAGCCAGCTGCGCCGTCCTGCACATGTGAAGACAGTTGTTTTCATGGAAATCGATTTTCTTGCTGGTTGGGAGGGGGGGGGTTGATGATGTAAAATTTCGGGAGAATTTGCGCTCCCTTTTTGACTCTCACCTTAGTGGGGAACCCTACCCTTGTGTGTTCAGCCTCTCCAAGTCATTATGAGACCACAACACCGATGTTTTTACCCATGTTTGAGACCCATCACCTCTGGTTTTTCGCAGTTTTTTTTTTTTTTTTTCAATGCCAAAAATGGGAGAAAATAATTCACTGCATCGATTTGACTTAAGGCGACAAAACATGAATATGCTTGTAGCTAAAGTCAAATCTATCGCAGGTACAAATGAAAAGTTGGTAACCCTACCCCGCTCGGGGGTTTTACGAATTTCTTTGTTGCGAGGTTGGCAGGTATGAGAACGGCAGCAGCACTCGCGGTGTGTTAGAAGATAGAAAATATAGTACGATGCCAGTGTGATCTGTAATCTTAAAGGGGCCCTAAAACACCTTTTCAAGTAACAACGGAATGAATTCGCTGGAAGAGCTTATTGCCTCACGAACTCAACGCGGCAAAAATTTTAAGAATCTGTCTAATGCGAGTGGAGCTACAAAGATTCGCCGCATGCGCCAATTGCATTTTCTCTCTTCTCTCATCCCCACGAAAGCGCTAGAAGCTAAACAGGGAGGGATGGCAGGAGCAAAGAAAGTATGTCTTCCGCGCCTCGTGACCTTGAGCACTTTTTTTTTTCATCAAATACGGCTTCTTCAGTGTGATAGCGTGCTTGTGTGACAAGTATTGGCCTCCTTTGGCAATCTCTGCAACGGCCGAGCGCGCCATGTTCAAATCAGCCAATGGCTGATAGATGGGATTTCTACGAGTCAATTTTGAGCGTCTTCCGCCATTTGTAGACAGAAGAGGAAACAATTTTTAGCTGAGTTTGATCATTTGTTCTGAATTCCAGGCCGCGTGCTGCGCTAAAATATTTGGCTTGCGTGTTGTCGGGAGCCTCTACTATCGGTCGGCAGCATTTTCTGGCCATGCTCAAAATGTGTTGCAGGGCCAAATTAAGATGGAGGCGCATCTGGGCCTCCTAGATACGGTCACACAGTCTAGGAGTCTGCAACACGTTGCTGAAAGTTAATTGTGTGCACAATTAAGAAATGTACTTTTCTTACACCACGGTTCTGACGAATAGGCAGTGGGGCGCGCATTCCCGCACTTCTCGCCCCCACACGCACTTGGCAGGTCTCGCGCGAGCAGCACCTCTTCGTACCCGCACGGTAGCTTAAGGGAAGTCTTTTCACAACGACCCATACTCCGTTGCATTGCAGGCCAATTGGTCTTGGCCGGGACCAAAGAAATATTCATATCGCCCTAAAAGTCGTTCGAACCATGATCGTATCGCCGAGGTTTCATTGTAAAAGGAAATTGAAACGGATAAATAAACAAGTTACTATGAACCATTGCAATGCTTTTTTTCAACATGTCCATTTGTTGGCTTTTCAGGGTAATGGATAGTTCTATACAATACATCACTAATTAGCCATGTTGACTGGTCGTTCTCTGTACAGCACAAAGCGCAGGTCTGTTCTATAGTGTTGCACCCCTCCCCCCCCAAATCATTAAAAAAAAACTGTTGCAGTTGCAAGTGCATGCTGTAGATCTCTGATACCGTATTTTTGCGCGTATAACCCGCCCCTGCATATAATTCGCACCCCCACTTTCAGCTCACCGAGAAAGAAAAAAAAAATCCTTGCGTATTTCTCGCACATTTCGTATACAGGAAAGGCTGTACAAAAGCTACTGCTCAAGCACCATAGCACATATGTAGGCAGAAAAAGCTTTATTTAGCATGCAGAATACGCTGTCTGCAAGGCCAGTCACAATTCACTCACTGTCTCTGCTCTCGCTAGAGCTATCACTTGAGCCGCAGTCCTCACTATTATGCGCAAGGTCATCTTCGGTTCCATCCATGTTGTTTGTGATGCAGCATTTCTTAAAACTTTTTCGCACCATCTCACCTGGAATGGCCTTCCATGCCTCGACAATCCACTTGCAGAATAGGGCAATATCAGGCCTTCGGACTCGTCCTGTCGGCGTCAAGTCGTAGCAGTCTTCGGCCGTCCACTCGGCGTTATAGCGCTTGACATGCGCTTTGAAGGGCTTGTTAAGCGACACATCTAGAGGCTGCAACATTGACGTCATTCCACCGGGTATAACAAGAACGCAGCGCCCGTAAGAGAACGCTGGTGGTGGAAGCGGGCAAGGTGTCTTCGGAAGCGGTCAGCGCTACTAGGAATCAAGTGGGCAGAACCGGGAACAACGCCCCCTGAAATACGTCACAGCTCTGCTATAAAACCACCGCTCCAGCGAGGGTCAGCCGTCATTTCACGGGCAGTCCAGGCAGCAACGAGGCTGAACGGCAGCTAAAAATTTACCTTGCTTTACGCAGGTACGTGAACGACTTGTACTTTGGCTTCTTTGTTCCTGGACTGCTCAGTGAATGACGGGTATTATGGGTGATAAGCCGCCCACTACTGTGAAGGAACTAGTTAAGGCCTTGTCAGATTTTTCTGCTAGAATTGATACCAAACATGATGAGCTAAAGAAAGACATCACAAAGGTTATTGAAGGCGAACTACAAACTCTTAGACAGTCAATCAACTTCATGAATGAGCAATTTGATCAATTCAGGGTGGAACTTGGCGAAACAAAGAAAGAACTTGCTGCGGTGCGAGCAGAAAACCACGCGATTAAAAGCGAAAACAGTCGCCTCGTCAAGAATATTAAGGAAATAAAACAGGAACTCACTGCTCAGCAACAATATAGTAGACAGAATAACCTAGAAATAAAGGGAGTTCCTGTGATGGAGGGGGAAAACTTGGTCTCCACAATGCAACAGCTTGCCAGCTACCTGAAAGTTGAAATCAAAGAAACAGATATAGACGTCGTGCACCGAGTGCCATCAAGGAACGCGTCAACACCTAACATCATAGTTAGGTTTCTTTCGAGAGCTGTGAAAGATAATGTTCTGAAGACTGCTAAGAAGCAACGACTTAACACGACAGCTTTAGGTTTTCAGGGCATCGCATCTCCAGTGTACATAAATGAGCACTTGTGTCCGGCAAACAAGGAATTGCTAACAGCCGCTCTAAAGACAAAGCGGGAAAAAAAGTGGAAGTACACCTGGGTAACTGGTGGAAAGATTTTGATGCGGAAGGCGGATAATTCACGTGTGCTTCACGTCACATGTGCTGAGGATCTTTCCAAAGTTGTTTGAGGATTGCCTGCTTGTTTCTGTAACCTGGAGTTTCCTATACTTTTAAATGGCGTTTTCTTTTTCTGAGGTTGAAAACATATGGCTGCAGCAGGATCATTTCGCAGTATTACATTGTAATATTCGCAGCATAAAAAAGAACTTCGATCATCTGCTTTCGTACTTATCACAGCACTCGTTTAAATATGATGTCATCGCTATAACTGAAACTTGGCTTCGAGAAAGCGAATCAGTTCATTTACCCGGCTACGTCATGCTTTCGCAACCTAGAAACAGTGCTACACGAGGAGGGGGTGTGGCGCTATTTATCAAAGACTGCTTTAGTTTCGTTCACCTTAGCAATAGCTCATGCTGCAGTTCATCGGCAGAGACTCTTTTTATTCATCTTCAGAATGGTGTCATCATCGGTGTAATATATCGTCCACCAATTTCCAGTGTGGCTGATTTCATTACTGTGATGGAAAGTACCATGATACCCATTGTGGCCTCTAAAGCACCTATTATTGTCTGCGGTGATATTAACAT